GCCTCGTCGCACTCCTGCAGGCGAGCTTTGAAGGGTTCCAATGTTCAAACATTTTTTTTGCACCGTTCATTTTGTTTGCACCGTTCATTTTTTTTGCACCGTTCATTTTTTTGTTTTTTTTTGGAACCCTTTTGTTTTGTTTTGGAACCCTTCAAAGCGAGGTTGCAGGAGTGCGACGAGGCGGCAAATTGCAAGCGTCTTGGAGGGGTCGTTTCTGCGGATCCTCAAGCTGTCCTGCAGTGTTTTTAGCTTTCAGAAATCTGCTCTGACGGGGTCGTTTCCTGGTCTGACGAGTGTGAGAAGCTCTGTAGCTGCGTTAAAATGCATTTGGGAAACCCCCTCTACAGAGAGAGTTTGGCTGTGCATGCTTTTGGCCAGGCCACAATCAACAAGTGAGCATCCAGAGCCCCATGATGGGTCAATAGAGGGCCCCAACTCTGGACCATAAGTAATTGTTATTCTCAGCAAAGGCTGGCGTATCTTTATTTGCTTACAAAACATTGCCATCGCATGTCTGTGGCAGTTTCCTTTCTGGCTGCCAAAGCTGCCACATTTTGCTAAGTTCATGAGGTCAACAGGCTGCCCCTTGTCCAAAATTGCCAGGTGAGCAATTTCAGTAATTTGGGTAGCAGATAAAAGCCTTGAGACCAAAGTTCTAACAGCCTGGTGCACAAAGAGCTAGGTGTTGTAGTGTCCTTTTGGCAAGGGGGGGCACACTGCTCCATTTCCTTTTTCCAGCCCCTCAATCGTTTGATGCCTTTGGGGTTGTCATCCATTACCCTTTTTGCAAGGGGCTTCCCTTTTTGTCAAAGGGGCTGCTGAGTCAAACCTGTACATTGTTTTCTGGAGCCAAATGGCAATCAAAGCAGACCCTCTAAAGCCATGCAAGCTAAACCTTGCCCCCCCTGTCAACCTGACATGGCCTGACAAAGGTTTCATGTTAACACCACATACATGTTTGTTTGCTTGGGGGTGGTGACAAGCTTGTTTGGCAACCACATGCCTTTACAGTATTTATATGTCATATTGCTGAAGCCCTTGGAAAAAGGGTGTGCCCCTGCTGCCAAAGAAAGGTGAAGGCCTATGTTCAAGATTTTCTTGACAAAACCATGCTTTGTAATAGTGCAAATTGTTTTCACTGGCTGTGCCCTTGAAAAAAGGAGCTCCCTGTGTGACACATTAAAGTGTTTGGGTTTGTGGGATACCCCTCCACTGCGGTCTTTTCCATGCCATGCCCAGTCTGGCGCCAGCCCCTTTCTCCAAGGCAAAAAACTGTACATATACTATATCCTTTTTACAAGGATGTTCCCAGCCCCTTTCTTGAAAGGGTGGATAACTGCACATTTGCTATTTCCTTTTTACAAGGATGTTGCCAGCCCCTTTTTGCAGGGAGATTTGCAACTCTGCATGCAAAGCCATACCCTTTTAGCAAGAGTACATTCAGCTTTTGGATGCCCTGCTTGCTGCCTTGTTGGCCAATTGGATCATTTCTTTGACCTCTGCTTTGGCAAGCTTGATGTCACTGGCAGTGTCCAGCAACATCTGTTTCAGTGCACTGATGCCCATGGCTGCCTCTTTTTTCAAGAGGACCTGCTTCAACTTGGCAATTCTTTTCCCCAAGCTAACCATGCTTGCTTGGTACTCAGCCTTTGTGGTTTTTGTCACTCTTTTTTTCCCCTCAGCCTTGTGCAGGGCGCTTTCCATGTCAGACAACACAGAGTTGGCTTGGTCCCTTGCTTTTTTAGCCTTACTAATGCACTCTTGCCATTGCTCTGGCTCGGTTTTCTCCTCTGGGAATGGCGGGTTTGGGTTTTCAGGGATCCCATCTTTCAAAGGCAGTGGTTTTGGGCCTTTGCCCTTGCCTTTCCCTTTGCCAGATCCTTTTGCCAAGGATTTGCCTTTGGAACCCCCGCTTTCCACATCCACAATGTGGCTTTGGAGGTCCCTGCTGAACCCCTGCCCCCATTGGCTTTCAACTTCTTGGTTGCTTTGGAACTCCTGGCCATGGGACCATTCCTTGCTAGCTTTTGCTTTCAGGTGGTCGAAGTACTCATAGTAGCCTGGGGTCCATGGGTCACTACGCCACTTGATACGTCCTGATTGTATGTGGGCTTGCAGTTCATGATCATCAAACCTCTGCAGGATTGTCTTCTCAGATTCCCATTTTTCCCTTTTGTCAAGGGATTTGCTCTGTTGCAGGGACTCCTTCATGTTCATAAACTTTGCCACATTCTCCTGCAGCAGCCACATGGCAACACTGTGTCCTTTTTCTCTTTTGGCAAGGGAGTCAAAGGCTTCCTTCTCTTCTGGGTTGTGTTTCAGCCATGTCTGGAATTTGCTCCATGCTTTGCTGCTTTCCTGAGGGGTCATCATCTCTTTCAGGCTCTTTGCCCCTTCTACTGCACTCTCTCTGTTTCAGCAACCTTCTCCATTTTCTCTTGCATGGACAACTTTCCTAGCTTAGCCAGGTTCTTTGCTTTCAGCTTGCTCCCTTTTGTCAAGGGTTTTGTTGTATGATCACTCCCATCCTTGCTTGCAGAGCCCGCTCCTTTTGACAAGGAAGTGTTGGAACTTGGTTTCCCTTTTAGCAAGGGCTTCTTCACCTTCTTTTTGGCTTTTGGTGCCATTGCTCAGGGAATTCTACATCATGAGCCAAAAAATGCTGTTGGTGATCCAAACATTGAAATCTGATGAAATCTGATGAAATCTGATGAAATCTGATGAAATCTGATGAAATCTGATGAAATCATAGGTTTCATCAGATTTCATCAGATTTCATCAGATTTCATCAGATTTCATCAGATTTCATCAACCTGTGAGTGGGCTGGTTCGTCCAAACACAAGGGGCGTTTAATTTGCTTCCCCTTGAAATCAAAGGGCAACCCAGCTCAGAACAGTTACAAACTGGATTGAGTGTTTGTGGAAATGTGCCTATGGACAATGAGGTCAGTTGGTTGCAGTTTTGTGCCTTTGGCAAAAAGGGCCTTTAGTTTGCTTCCCCCTTGAAATTAAAGGGGCAACCCAGCTCAGATTGTGCCTTTGGCAAAAAGGCAGGGGCCTTCAGTAACTGGTGCTGGGTGCCAATGACACAATAGTGGCTGCCCTTAGAATAGATGTTTGCTTGGGTGAAATATTCAGTCCATGTGGCCACCGCTTGATGGTCATGTGTTGGAATGCTAATCGGTCTTCATGGGGTGCCATTCAAACAGAAACATTATTTGAACAAACAATTGCAAGAGCAATCTCATGATTTGTTTATCAGTGTTTTCCACCCTGCCCCCCATTGCTGCAGCTCTTTTTTTTCTCTTGATGCAAAAGTCTCCTGACCCATTTTGGCCAGTTATGCCCTTTTCTCCTTTTAGCAAGGAGATGCTGCCAGCTTTTTCCTTTTGACAAGGATGTTTGGAAATGCTGCCATCCTGCCATTCTTTGGCAAGGATAGATTTTCCACTGCCAGCTTTGCCCTTTTGACAAGGGGGTTTGGCGTTGCTGCCGGCCTGCTGCCTCCTTTTGACAAGGAGATCAGTCAGCCATGGCCTGGTCAAGCAAGAAGGCAGCCACTGCACCACACAAGGTGGGGTGGGCTCTCCGTCCGGCTCCGTTTTTTGGTGCAAAAAGCGCTTAAAACGACCGAGTCCGAAGAGTCCGTTTTTTCGTGTCAGACTGCAAGTGGGATGCCTAAGCCTCCAAATTCGCTCGTTTTCGGTCGAAAGCAGGCTCCAGAATTGAAGACTTTGTGTTTCTTCCAGCCATACCTTTCTTGCTTTGCTATGCCCTTTGGTAAGTGAATGCCCTTCTTGAATTTGCTTGGAAGGGGTCGAGTTTGAATGTGTCGGCAGTTCACATTGCAGGATGGCATGGTTTTTTGAGTTTGCCTTCAAAGTCATCGGAGCCAACTTGAGGAGAATTCGGTCCAAAGTCTGAAGCAGAGGCTTCCGGCGTGTCAGCTAGCGTATTCAAATGTTGTGTAATAACCCGCCTCACAGTTTAAATGGACCGGACAAAGAAGGATAACAGTGTGTTTTGTGCACGATGTTTGGAGGACACTCATGGCCATCCGTTTCCAAACCAGCACATTTCGAAAATTTTACACTAAAGATATTTATTTAAATGGTTTGTGCTTGGCGAGCCCTTGCCCTCCCGATTGAAGTGCTCCAGCCCCACAGTGCTGCCAGCGCAGACTCTCGGACTCCAGACATCAAAACCACCCGCAACAAGCCTTCGCCCAAAACCCTGCAAAACGATAAAAGGAGAAACCAAATAAGAGGTTTTGGCGCACTGCAAACGGGACAGTTTTTTCTACACAACCTCAAGTGGCCTTGCAATCTTGGCACATTGCTTGCACGCGCAGCTTCGGGCTCTGATGTTCAATCTGAATCTTTGGTTTACCTTTTGTGGGCAAAATCCAGCGCAACGGCGCAGCTCAGTCCTAAAGACTTGACATCACGAGGGTGCGGGTAGGGTTGTGATGTTGAGCACCATGGCCTAGAGAAGGGCATTTGCCTGGCGCCTTGCGGTGATTTTGCCTTGCGTGTTCGTTGCGCTCTTCCGCAACGTGACCTTCAGTATCCCAAAGCGCATTGAGGAAGCCGCCTCTATTTCCTCAGTTTGAGACACTCCCATACTTCGAAGATGGCTCCAGAAATATAGGGTGACATCACACACAAGCAGAGCGGCATGCATGGGTAAGTAGATGAACCAAGAGGAAGCAACTTGCGCAGCAGACATGGATCTTTGAGATGTCTTTGGGTGGCTGCAATACAAAACTAACTCTTTCTCGTGGTGACGAGACTCGGTGCCCGTTTGCAGTCATGTCCGAGTGGCAAGTCGAATGGGCCTAGCCGAACCATGAGGAACAGCCCGGCCAAAGCAAGCGATTCCTGGCACTAACGCTGAAACCAGTTGGTTTGGGAGCGGCCGCCTTGTTTGTGGCTGCCTTCCCCCCGCCCTTTTCGGGGCCGCCGCACGCCATGCGGTCCGTGCGTGTGCTCCGGACTCAGGGCGCCCGGCATCTGTGCTCCATGGCATGTTTGGTGAGTTTTGGGAGCAAAGGTCGGCTCTGGTGAACCGTGTTGCTTGCAAGCGGCGGCTTTTGTTGTCGCACGGGCCATCTCCCCGGACGAACAACACACAAATCACTTTGCCCTGCAAGGCCGCACGCGTGGAAACCGCAACTGGGAGAGACCCTTAAGGCTTCACCAGACCCTTGGACTGAGCCCAACGGGCATTTGCCTTTGGCTCCTGAGGGGCGGCGTTTTTCAGCGGCATCTCGCTTGCCCAGTTCCCGGACTTGGGCACTGGTTTCCGCTACCCTTCGAAGCATCCGCAAAGGTTTACCAACTAAAAAGCGAACCAAAAGGAAGCCAGCCATTCTGGGCGTCTGATTTCTATGTTGAGAGCGGCCTAAACCTCACCCAGGTGAGTGAGTAGAACAAAGCCAACCTGTTTCCAGGTTGGGATCTCTCCAAAAATACACCGGTTTGTTGCCTCGATTGTGTTTGTGCGCAACCTGCTCGTGTGCATTTTTTTACAAGGAAAAACAAACAAAAACAAAACACGTCTCTGTTTGGCCGGTCCGCCAACAGAGTGACGCGCTTCCTGGCCCGATCAGAAAAACGCTCCGGTTCGGATCGGGATCCGGCGCCAGGTCGATGCCCTCCCGCAAGGAGACGCAGCCTATGGTCCTCAAAACCGAGCGGAAGGAGCCGGTGGGGTGTTTTTGATGCCGATCTCTCAAATTCTGGGCTCGGGGTGTCGAGGGTTGTTGTGGAGGTTTTGGGTGGAAGCCAAACAAAGCCCACCTGCATTGAAAGGTTCCCGTTTGACACACTGAACCCAACTTGGGGAACATTAGGGGCCCCAGATGTAAAGTGAGCTTCCCTTTTTGGGCAACTGTGTTCAAAGGCTCAAAGGGTTGACGGGTGAACCAAAGAGAAAAACCGGATTTTGGACGGGTTTTGTCTTCGATTGTGAACTGATGAGTGAGCCCTTGGACAGTTTTGGATGGGTCAAGGGGTTACTAGTCCGAAAGGTTGACAAATTCAGGGTCAATTGACAGGATCAGGCCGGCCCCTGCTGTATGATGACCACACCCAATTCGACCTTGGCGCTTGTGGCTTCCCGTCTCATTTCCCTTTTGGCCATACACCGTTCAGGGTGTGTACAATCGCGTAAATCGGGCACCCGAGCCTGGTACTAAATTCGCCAACGTGCTCATGTGGATTTGTCTCCAAATGATCCACAATCATAGGTTTAATTCTGCATGAATTACGTCGATGGTCTGTGACATGCGTCTTCAGTTACATATGCTTCACAGACGACGTAGCACTGTAGATCAACGGTGTTACCATGGTGTTTCGGGGAGAGAGGATGTCCGGACTTGTCCTCCGGTATTTGACTCCTGTCGAACTCTCAAACCGAAGACCAATCCTTCGTGGAAGGGAGTGGCCCCCAAACTGGTCTTCCTCTTGGCTTCTCTTAGCAGGGCACCTCAAGAGACACACCCCGGGCCCCAGGCCCCTGGTTTTCTTCGGAGGAGCTCGCGGCCAGCGCGATGTTCAGCACGGACACGGCGGCTGGGTCCGGCTCTCGGCTGAAAATGCGAGGTCCTTTTCGCTTGACGCTCCTCTCAGTGTCTTCATGCAGGCAACAGGGTGACAAGTGGCCATGGGGCACCTGTGGCTCCATTTTGGGATGGATGAACATCCATTTGCCGCCTATTTTGATGTTTACCAGAATTATAGGGTTTTGACCCACAGCCAAGTGTGTAGATCATGTTTTCCATGGATACCATATGTTCCTGAATAGAGGCGCGGACCAAGGTGTCGCGCTAAGGACGGGTGAAGGTCCCAGTTTCTTGTTGCCCCTATGTTTCTTTGCCTGTTGATGTTCATGGGCTGGCATGGGATGGGTCAAACAAACCACCCGCAGGTTTTAGTCCTTGTTTCCATTTACTAGGGTTCCCATTTTTGGGTTGCCCAGATTTTGACTCACACCTAAATGGTCAGGGGCGAAAGTTATCTCCCGTTTCCGTTTTTAACATCACCTTGGCCCATTGAAAAAGGGGAGTTTTTCGCAGGTGGGATGTACGGATCTATGGAACCCGGTCCGGTTTCATGTACACGAATTTGGGGTCTTGTTTAGACTCCCAAAGTGGCACAATGGTTTACTTTGGCTTCCTTTGAACCAATTATCAAAAAGGGTACCCTCAAAAAAGCCACCATGGTTTTCGAACTTGAGTGTAGGGTACAATGAGAGCCAGATCGGAGCACATCGACTGCGACATGCTTCACTTGTCACGGGCCCTCGTGGCAGATAGGGTCCGATAGACCCGAAAAAGAACCAGCCTGAGCCACGAAAAGCGGCCGTTGGCGCGTGCATCCTGCAGCTGTTGAAGACACATCCCCGAGAGCGCTCGACTCATTTCGCCATGGCCAAGTCCCTGATGCTCCCCGCCCTCTTTGGCTCCGCCGCGGCCTTCGTGGCGCCCCCCAGCCTCCGCGCCACCGCCGCCACCGCCGCCGCGGAAGGCGCCGCGCCGTCGAAGCCGGCGGATGGCGCGACGCCGCTGGCGCCGCTGGCGTCGGCGGCGGTGCTGGGGCTGGCGGCAGCGGCGGCCAACGTGCGGCGCTCCAAGCGCGGCGCGCAGAAGGCGGGGGACCTCGGCTGTTTGGGAGGCGGATGTGGCTGGTTGACCTGCAATGGAGTTTGATTTGTGAGGCTGGCGAACGGGTCCACCGAATCTCAAAGAGCAACCCTTCCGGAGCCCGGGACTCTGGGCTGAGACCCCTGGGGCCGAGTCCGCGTTGATTTGCTCATTACCTGGGATATGAACCCAGCAAGCACTTTTTGTTTTTTTTTTCTTACACCTCCTTTCTTTGTGCTGCAGATGACCTGAGCTGAAGAGGTTGAAAGGACCCAGGTTGACCATCTTTAGCGGGAACATGCCTCCTGGAACCGTTTACTACCATGCAAGTTAACTGTTCCGCTCGGATGAAAGTAGATAGCAAACTTTGTTTAGTCCCCCTTCCTGATATGGGGGTGCCAACTGCTTTCATAATACTGTGGACGGACAAGGTCCGCTTGCACTGGTCGGAGACTTATCAACCAGTATTCAAGTCGTGTTTCATCCATCCATTCATCCCAACTAGGAAGAACCAATAAGACAAAAATATGGTGATTCGACAGTCCCCATATTCTTCAAAACACCCCACCTGAAGAAAGCCTTCCTTCAAATGGTTGCCAGATGAGAAGTGTGAGACCCAAAAACATCTCGAACCGCTCCCAGGTGGTTGCGCTGCGGGCCGAGAACCCCCGGGTGGAAGCTCTCAGGAGCGCACTCGCTCCGTTTGGTTCAGATGTGGCCGCTTTCAGGTGTGGTGCGATTCGAGGCAAAGGGTAAGCCAAAGAGTTCTGCACCGTCCTCAAAACACGTGGTTTTCCTGAACTGAGCATTTGATAGCGATTGAAAGTCCTAGTTGACATTTTACACAATGGTACCAGATTTGTGAACGCACCCCCAATGATTTGTTTCCTCTTGGTTTCCTTGAAAACCACTCAACAAGGGGTCAACCATTTTGAGAACCACCACAAACCAACAACACGATCACAGATCTCGGGTTACAAAAAACCATTGCTGTCTTAGGCATGTGGCCGTTGAACCAAGAAAGGGACTTTTTCGGGAAGCACCGTGGTGTCTTTTCGGAATCCGGATATCTTTCATTGACTTGCGTCCATGGTCGCAATCCGAAGGAACTGCGCCGCCGCGCGACCAAACTTTTCGCAGGACCTGCGAGAAGTCCGTGAAGGTGTCGCCCTCTATCCTCTCCGCGGACTTCGCAAAGCTCGGCCAGGAGGCATGCATGACTCGACCGAGACTCAGACAGACGTCGACTTTTTGCATTCGCGCAGTGGGGTGAACTGTCGGAGAAAAAAGGGGTGGCATCTTTTCTTTTTCTTTTTCGTAGATGTCTTCTTGGGTTTCCATTTTTGGCACCCTCAAAATGGCGGGCGATTTTTTTCCCCAAGCTCCGACAGGTGGGCGATGTGCTTAAGGCGGGCGCGGACTGGGTCCACGTGGATGCGACTTGGATCGGATGCGACAAAAGGGAAGCCTCGGACCCCGGGTGGGCGTGGCTGGTTGCTTTTGGATGGTAAGTAGTAGTAAGTAGCGAGAAGCGGATGGGTAAGTTGGTAGTAGTTGTGCCAACCCTTTTGGATGAAGTAGTAGTAAGGAGCAGTGAGTAAGTGGTAAGTAACTTAAAGTGCTTGATATGTGAATTGCTCAGACCCATCATGGGGTAAGAAAGGATCGTGTTTTGTGCATCCGACGCATTTGTTGGAACCCACGGTTTGGCTGCGGATTGCTGTGGGGCCCTATGATTTTAACATGGCGTCATAGATGCATTGAGCTATGTGTGGAGGGCATTGGAGACTCCAGGTACTTAGAAGCCGGAGTTTCCTATTTGAGACGACCTGATCGACAGAAGTGCCCACAGAGCCCTACAGTTGTGGCCACAATTTTTGTCCTCCATATCACTCTTCGACAGCTTTCTGGGTTGCGGGGGGTCGTCAACACGAGGACACTTTTTTGAGTGTTTCTAGCGGTCATTTGAACACACACACACACACATGCACGCAGTATGTGGGCTTTTTGGCGGGCGGCAAAACAACTACTGTTAACGTGCTCTTTGATCTCGTGTTGGCTGCCAGCTGCAAATGAAGGCTAGGGTGAGACTTGCGTGGTTGGGTTGAGTGCAGAGCTCCGCAGTGAGTGTGGACTGGGACCATTTCGGCAAAGCGGATATGAGCAGATAAGTGGTTGGATTCGCACATGGCTGCAGGCGATTCTGCCTTTTGCCGGTTTTGTTTGTTGCAAGAGCACGCAAGGCAAGGGCCGCGTTCTGGCGAGCAAGTAGAAAGCTGACAAGCAGACTTTGAAGTCTGCTGGTTTGGGGAGGACATGGGGGCCACACGGCTTGTACCCGCAAAAAAGCGAGGGGTGAAGACCGGCAGGACGGATTTTTGCGTGCGTATAACCCTTTTTCTTTTGTCACAAAGAGTCCAAATTGTGTTAGTCCCATTTGTTGATGTTGCCACGTATATCCACACCCAAAAGGGGATGCTACAACCGCATGATCAGTGTTGAAGGGACGAAGCTGCGTCCTTTTTTGTGCGGGTACCCTTTCTGGCTTGGGAAGGGAAAGAAGGACCTTTTTGGACGCCAATTTGCGGTCCCATACTTAGAGACAAGCCCAAGGTGGAATCGGAAAGCCGTTGGTTCCTTTCGCTCGCTCCCGGCTATCTCAGCAAAGGTCATGGATGGCCGCTTCGTGCCGAACATCACCATCGGCCCCGGGGTCGTGTCCGCTCTCAGGAAGGCGCATCCTGAGGCAGGGAGATCGGATATCCCGACGGCTTCCCACCAAGCTGGTGCCATGTTTGTTGTGTGTGGGGGAAAGGACAGTAACAAGACAAGGTAAAGGTCAAAGACCCAACCAAGCAGCCAAGAGTAAAAAGTGAAGAGTCTTGAGAAGAAAAGCAACAAGCATGAGGTGCTACTCGGCTCCTCGTTTCCCATTTGGTTAGCGGGCCGCTTCTTGTTTCCAGCGAAATCACCTTATGAAGAGGGAGTTTTGACCTGGATTTTCCAGTGATCCACTGGCCATCACCCTAGATAAGCCACAAAAACAGCAACGGCGAGCCCAAAAACATCAAGTCCCGCGGGCACGTTTTCTCTCGGACCTTGAGGCGGTGCTGGACTGCCACCTGATGATCGTGGAGCCGGAGCAGCGGGTGGAGGAGCCGTTGGGCCTGGGAACGAAGCGGATGCCTTGGGCCCGAAATGGCTTCGTCTTTCGGTGGTCCCTTTAAAGCTCAAAAAAGGGGGGGGTAGCCTCCACAGGGGTGCTCCCTGGGATGTGGTTTTAGGGTCTTCAAGAAAGAATGGTGGGTTCCTCTATGTTGCTTTTTCAACCTTGGGCACCACTGAATCACTGAAGGGTGGGGGAATTAAGGGAGCAGGTTTCAGGAAGGATGCTTCTGCCTGGACGGGCGAAATGAGCTCACCTCTCCGGTGAAACGAGCTCACCATGGGGGCCCTTTGCTTGGGGATCTTTGGATCCAATTCTCTTCCAGAAATCTTCCCCCAGCAAGCTATTGCGGGTGCCCAGAAATCGGCTCGCTCCTTCGTCTTTTTTTTTTTGGGGCTCAAAAGGTGGGTTCAAAGGGTGACGGGTGATACCACCTGGGCGTTTGGGTTTATCGAAATGGCAGGTTAGTCCCCGCCAGTTGCCCAAACCTTATGAAGGTCTTTGGGGAGTTTCCGGAAGTCCGGTGTATGAAAAATCATTTGCCCAGATTTGTAGGGGTATCTCTCTTTTTATTGGTTGGGGGGGAAAGGGAACCCATGGTTTTCAATGTGAATTTTCAGGGAAGGTGACTGGACGGGGTAAAAAAAGTGGTTAGATTTGGAGGGGCTCTCAAAGCAATTTGGGTGCCGCTGGAAGCCTTTCATCCCATCCACTTGGGGGTAGTTCCTTCGGTTTGCGAAGCGGATCGTGACAGGTCTTCCCTTTTGCATGCGAAGCGTGTCATGGCCCTCTGAAGGGCCCTATACGAAGCTTGTAAGACTCTTGGAAATAGAAAAGGGCCAGTGCAGGACCCTCTCTGTTCCTCGAGGGGCCTCAAAGACAAACGCTTAGAACACCATCGAAACCGACCCGAGTTCAACCTTTTGCTTCGGTGAACAAACTGTGGAGGTTTCAAGGTCCAGGGAACACTCCAGTCGGCAAATGACATGGCGCAGATCGACGAATCTATTCCTGTATTCCATGACCATTTCTTTTTCATCTTATTCAGATTTTTATTCTTCGCAATTTGCAAGATTGCCAAGAGTTTTTCCACACATGTTGTTTGCATGGAAAGTCTTTTTGGTCAGTCGATGAAACCAGTGTTGTTTCTCGCAAAGGACATGTCCTGCTTTCAGGGTCCCGCAACGCAGCAAATTTGGGCTCCGAATCACCTCCGGTATTTTGGTGGTCAGTTTTGCTATGCCAATTCCGTGACCTCTTCGTTGTCGACGTCCGCTGAATTTGATTTTAATGTCTTTAATCTTAGCCTCTCCTTCTGTTCCCCAGGCATAAGAACATTCGCGAGCGTTCCCACACAAAACCTGAACAAAGACCTGAACAGCCTGAACAAAAACCCTTTTGCATTTTTTTTTTTTGCGTGATTCCATGTTTTTGGGCTTCACATCAGCCTGGTTGAAGGGGAAGGACAACTCACCCATAGTTCGACTACCTGCGGACGGACACACATCACAACAGTTGGGATGGGCATTGTCAGGTACTTGTTTTGGAAGTATGGATGCTATGCCACACATATAAGCTCAGGCTGTATACACCCCTGATATACGCGATATAGAACCTCCGCACCTCCAAAATGAAACCGGACTACTGGCTGATTCCCTCCAATCATGGAAGCTTCGTCAGATCGTTGAAGCCAACCACCTGTATGATTGTTGGAGGGGTGCGTTTGGAAGACTTCGCTTTTGGGAATCCCCCTTTCCGCTTCCGCTCTTGGAAGACACAAAGCAAAAAGTGGTTGGGGTGGATGAAGCCTGATTTGCATACTGGCTGTTTCTTTTAAGACACAAATTCACAGAACAAAGCACAAACATCATATCAAACAAATAACACATTGTCTTTTTGTTCTTAAACAAATAACCATCGACTGCGAACAAGAAGAAGCAAACAACACTGCAAAGCAACAAGACCAAATATCTGTTTGCATCAATACACAATTGACAAATAAATAAATAAATGCATACATAAAAATGCATAAATCAATAAATACATAGCAAAATAAGTAACTATACACATTTGTGTCTTAAACATCAACAAATAGAAAAGTCAAAAAAAAAACAGCACAGACGTGGCTCCTACGTAGGACTTTGCGAACGCGGGCGCGGACATCATCTCGGTGCACTGCGAGGCAGCCTCCACCATCCACCTGCCCCTCGGCAAAGCTTCCGCGTCGGGAAGTCGGAGCCAGGGGGCCCCTTGCGCTCGGGTGCGAAATCGGTTTTTTCAATGTGGTGGAGTGATTCGTTTGGGGATTCCAGAAAAAAAAAGAGGGCACCATTTCTTTTTGGGATGGTTGATGGGTCCTGGGACGGCGGTCGATTTTTTTTTTTCCGATGGGATTCCCGAAAAGGGGAAGCCCAAGTTGGATCCTTCCATTTCTCAGGGCCCCTGAGTCCGAGCACAGACGGGTCCCAGCTCATTCTCGGGATGCCCCTCCATGGGTGGCTCGTGTTTTTTTCGGTTTCTGAGCTGGGACCTGTTTTGGGCGGCTGAAGCCAGAAGGAAAACTCGCAATTTTTTATTCTTTTTCGGGGGGGGGTCCTCCAAAAAGGACTCGCAAACGGATTGCCTTTGCTGGTACGTTCCACCACTGCCACTGTTGGAGTGCAGCATATGCGGGGGGTCACGAAAGGATGTCCCCAAATCAAAGTCGAGATCATCTCACTGGTGCGCTTGGAGCTCAACGCTGAGCCAACCCAAAAACCAAAAAGCAAGCCACCCGTTGAGGGAAGTCCCGGTACATACAAAGGTGTTCGCTGGGGCCCGTCTCGTGGGCGTCTCGGTTGCAGCTCCGTGGGTTTTTTTCGAGGCACCGCACCGTGAACCAGATCAAGCAGCTGGGCTGCATGGCCGGGGTGGTGCTGAACCCGGGCACCCCGCTGTCGGCCATCGAGTACGTGCTCAGCGAGGCCGGCTGAAGCCGCCTCTCTTGTGTACTTCTCTTTTTTGAAGCAGATTTTTTGAGGGGTGGGGGGGGGGTTCCCTTTGTTGTATTTAGCACCTTTTTTTTTGAGGGGGGGGGGCTTCAGACGGACGGACATCCGCAGGTTCGGCGAGCACCCTTGCCCTTAAACGGTTGGGGAGGGAGTGACGATGGAGCAAAATCTCCACCCTGTTCCCAGGTCGGCACTGTTTGGCTGTCCAAAAATCAGGGTCCTGGCCCCGGCCCACGCCAGCCCATTGAGTTGACGTGCTTCGCGCGAATGAATGGCTCCGTTAGGTGGACCTTGTGCTGATCATGTCGGTGAACCCGGGCTTCGGGGGGCAAGGCTTCATCGAGTCCCAGTTGCAGAAGATCAAGGATCTCAAGAAGATGTGCAAGGCTCCCGGGGTCTCCTTGGGTTCTTTTGTGGTTTAAAAGTCACCTTGCGCTTCTTGATTCTTGCATCAAACATCCAATTTTCATTGTTATGTACTTCAGGGTTGAAGAAATCTGAAACCTCGTCTGAAGGCCAAGCTTGGCGCATCCGCTCCGGCACCAAACGCCACCAACCGCTTCTGTTGCTGGGAACGAAGTGGGTCTCAAAGTGAAATGGGCATCCCTCGCGCAAAATGAAGCCCAGGAGGAACTGGTTGATGAATAGGTCCTGGTGTCTTTGTCTCAAAGACAGATTTGGAGGCAGCTTTACCAGGGATGCCTCCTTTTTTGGGTCTTTCTTCAAAGTTAACCCTCCCGACACGCCATGGAACTCACTGCCTTTGGACAGCGCCTGAACACAAAGAGGAAGCCATGACCATTTCAGACATGGATCTCAAGCAGTCCGGCACTTGGTCCCGATCTTTTCTCTCGGGATGGTTGAAGCATCCCCTTTGGGTGGGGGTGGGGTGGGCTTCCTCGCGAAAGTGATGTTTCGGGGGGAATATGGCTGTGGTCAAAACCAATGGTACCATGTTGGGGTAGGTTCACCACCCATTTTAGTCTATTTTAGTTGGGATTGAATCGGATGTTCTTTAGGGGTACAGGCTGATTTTGACCCATGGCCAAATAAAAGGGCCAACTTCACTGGGAGTTGAGGAATCACTACCTTTAAGGGTCACAGAGATTGTATGATCCAACCCCCCTATCATCCATAAGCCTCGTTGGTCCCCACTGCCCTTTAGATGGCGGGGGCTGGGCCGGCTTGTGCTAACAGCCGGGATGTGCGGTCCCGATGCGCGCGAGCACCCGACGGGTTCGCACCGGCCCTCTCAAAGGTTGGGGGGTGGGTTGGAAGAGAGGAGCTCCGGCCGAACTGAAAAAGTCGATTATTCTAACTGTACCTCTACTTGAGAACTTTGGAGAACTGGAAGGATTGGCAGAGTCAAAAGTTACAAGAGAGGACTTTGGAGAATTGGAAGGCCTCAATCTTCAAGTCTTCAAACCTTCAGGTTTCACAACTAAAGTAGCCTTGGCCACGGCGATGGCGGAAAGCTTCGGCATTCCGAATGTGCACTCGCAGCCGGAAGCGGCGATAGTGAACTTCCTGGCGAGCTTCGATTTGATGCCCAGAGAACCAGCACTTTTTCTTTTCTTTTTTTCTCCGTTGAGTTCACCACAACAAGGACACCACAAAAGAGTTGGATGGTTCATGGGGGTGGACATTCTCTTCTTTTTTTTTTGGGGGGGGAATGTCCCGGAGAAAAAACTAAAAACGGGAAAAAAAAGCACTTGGATGGTTGAGTTCGGGGTCACTACTCCATTTCTCAGAGCCCCGGAGGTTCCTTTTGGGGGCTCCGAGACTGAAAGCCTGAAGATGAGCTCAGGGCCGAATTGGTTTGGATTGGTTTGGGATTTGAAGCCCTGGTTCTTGTGAAGGGAAACTGACCAATCCAAACTACTAGATGGAACCTGATCAGGGCATTGGTTGGTTTCGCTAGGGCCAGATTTCAACGCCAGCCCTATCCTTATAGAAAGGCAACATATTTCCGGCAAGCCTTTTCTTTTCCTCGGTTTGCATCGTTTGGGCTCAGTTTCCAAAGGTGACCCTATTCATTGGCCATCCGTATATCCGCAATGGTTGCTAGCCACGAGGAAACGGGGCTTGACCCTAGTCCTCCTCTTGGTCCTCGACTGTGAGGCAGAAATCGCCGACTAGGGTCAAGCCCCGTTTCCTCGTGGCTAGCAACCCTTTGCGGATTTGCGGATGGTCAATGAATCCCCTAAGTCTATATGTAGGGCAACTCCCACTTAGAATGTTTTTGCCACCTCACGCAAGGGAATGAACATTTCCTAACCAGGTCTATAGGGCAACTCCCTTCTTGGGATGCTCTTGCCACCTGTGGATGCATCCCCTACTAGGTCTATAGGGAATCCCCCTAGGTCCACGCGTCGGGCAGCTCGGATGTTTTTGCCTGTGAGCCAAGGGTCCACCCGCACCTGCTGCGGGCGGTTCCGGCTCACAGAGCTCTGGTGGGAGGCTCTTCAGGTCGCCTGCGACCAGGGATTACAGCGTGGAGGTGAGTCAAATCGATGCTCGGCAAAACAAAATACATATATATATATATACATAATTTATATATATACATAGTATTTTTTAAATTCTTGTTATATATATATATATGTATATAAAACGCCCCAGCCTGTTCGGAGCTTGTCTCTCTTTCTCGAAGGCTTGTTTGTTCCTTGGAGCTGAATTTGGGTTTTCTCAAAATGGTTTCCGGGCCCTTTGGGTTGGCAATTTAGAGGGCCGCGCGCGCAGAAATCAGACAATTAATTGCTGGGTGCGATTCATTTTGAGAAACGCCCGACTCATACCGATGGATGAAATCCGCCTCGCATCAATTGGTATTTTGTTTTTGTCCCAGTATTTAAATCGGGCTTCATCCGTCTCAACTGGAGATCGTGTTGTGGATGTTATGCATCAGTAGCTTCCTCAAATCTGATTGGACTCGGTAAGTGAAGGTTAGGGGCCACTCAGAAATGGGTTCGGAAAAACGATTCATCGCGCTTTAGTTCTCCATGGGTTTTGGGTGGACCACTCTAATACTGTTCGGTTTTGATTCTGACATGTTGCCCAACTCGGATGCCTGCCCTGCTTAGTCAGTTTTCAGTGCGCCTGGGGTGCATCAATGGACACTGATTTGAAGGAAAAGGTGAGTATAGGGTTCTGGACAAGTCACAGCATGCTCATCGATGCACCGATCCACTATTTCCGCTGTGTGAACTAGACACTTGAGCATCCAGTGGCTTTCACAGAAGCTCTTGATCAGTGGGCGGCGCCCTTTGAGGAGAGGTGGGCAAGCGGTTGCCCAGGCAGTTCCAGAGGCTGTTGGGCATGCCCATACTGTGGATGGACTAGATCCTGCACCACTTTGAAAATGGGAAGCCATTGTTCGTTGGTATCTACAGGGGAATCATCATTCCCGTTCTTGGGTGGCGCAGGATTTCGTCCATCCACAGTAGGTCAGGTTGCAGTGGTGAGAGTGGAGGTATGTCTGGTCGCTCTCAAGTGTGTAGGTGCCGCCCAGGTTTGCCAAAGGGTGTGATGCAGTGATGCTTCTGCCACACTCCGATGGAGTAAAGCCGGTCTTTTGGCATGTGTATCCTGAAGCAGCGTGTACGCAGCTAGACGTGACATGGCGTCTCCTTGGAGCGCAGGATGCGCCCATTGGAGCCGGTGAGATACCGCAGTATCAGTTCGCTACACGTGTTCACAGGATGGTATGTTGGCTTGGGTCGATTTGTGAAGAGTGGTCCATGCAGCTGGTGTGAGAGTCGGAGCGGGGCATGTGGACTCCGCTGCCTTAGAATTGCAGGCTTTTGGAGGTGTGCAGCGGGCGGTTCTTTCCTTCTTTTTTCCTCAGGGTGCTTGCTGTGGCGCCCTACAAGGACACAGGTGGGTTCGCAAAGTGCTTTCCTGTGCAGCGGCAAACCCACTTGCTTGGGCTATGTCCTGTTGCAGTTCCGTTCTGGATCGTCAGCTGTTCGCTATGGTGCGGGATTTGGATTTTGTAAGTATGGGTGCTTGATATGTCACCCCTTTGATGCATGTTGAGTGTTGAGTGGTTGGATGATTTGCTTCGCTTATGAAGAGGAACACTGCGTGCAGCACACACAGGCGTAGGTTTCTCCCGCTTGGCAGTTGGTGCTTGAGTGGTTTGTGAATCATGGTTGTCTGCCCTGATTTTTCCTGGGACGTCCAGAGGTGAACGGGTCCGGGTCAAGCAGAAAGAATTGGTTGGTGTGCTGAGAAAAGGCCTTGACAGGGGATGCCTTGGATGGGTCAGTGACCGCCATTCTTCAAGGGCATTTCCCTCAGGCCAGCTGGGTCCATTCAAATTGTGAGCCTCTGAATTAATGGCCATGCAAAAGGAAAGAGATCATAGAACTCACGTGAGGAGCAACGGCTAGTTTATGATGATGTTCCTATGATGACTTGGTTGGCCTTCTGGTGGCACAGACCAATTGTAATCGTCCAAGCCCTCGTACCATTGATCTTTGGCATGGCGGGGCACGCTGATTCTTCATGAATTGGAGCCCAATGCGGGTGTTGTTTGGGTTTTGCCTTGTGAGAATGTGACCATTTTTGTTGCTAGAACCATCCTGCGGATGGAACTTGCATCCCCTGCTTTCAGTACTTTGGCAAACAACCGGAACGTGACCATATAATTGCATCCCCGACTCAGGATGTCTTCTGGTCTCACAGCTGGCACGGGCCTCGGGTGCAGAAATTTGTCCTTCTTCTGGTGCTGTATAATGGCCTGGCGGCAGCCCTCATCGGGACGCTTGTTGTGGCCGGTGTCCGCCTGCTCTTCGAATTCGGCCCGAAGAAGACGTACCTCGTGAACAGCGACGCCTTCGCAGTTCGGGTGGACGTCGTGCTTGCCACCATGGGCGGCTTTGGGGCCGCTGCCGTGTCGCTTGGAACGCGTTTTCAGACCCAAGGTACCTCACAGGGTAACTCAGGCTCGAGGGTCGGCTTGTTCGTCCTGTAAGGGGAGCTAGGGGTTTTTGGACCAGATGCTTTCACCATGGTTCCATCCTAGGCCAGGACTTGGCTGTTGGGCAGTTCCATCGCCCAGAGCCTGTAAGGTCGCTTTTTCTCTGGCGCAGCCGCCAGATGATCTTTTTCGATCGGATGTGCATCGATACCCAGCCGAAGCAATGGCGCGTAGCGCAGATCCTGCAGATCGGAGCGATGCTGAAGCGTTCCAAGTCCTTGCTGGTATGTTGGGATGAAAGCTACTTGGCCATGGGTCAAAATCCAAATCGTACCCTCAGTAAACACGATTCAATCCCCACTAAAATAGGTTCTAAAATGGGGTGGTGCACCTACCCCAAATGGTACCAATGGTTTTGACCCACAGCCACTTGGCTTACCTTTTGATAGATCACCCAAGATATTTTTGTGGAACTGGCGCAGGCCTTCCTTTGTCTTCTTGTTTTTGGTGCGAAAAGGGCCTGGTGGGCTTTTTCAAGACGGGGTTCGGGCCACGCGCACCAAGCCATGTGCAGACGGGGTTTGATTTTGAGCAGGAGGTGCAAGCAGGAGGCACCTACGAGGGGGGCGCGCAGAAATAGGAAATGACGCACACTTGAATTTGTCCTTGTACAACCGGCGCTTTGGCGCCCCGAAACCTGCCACCAGCCACCACTTAGTGGCCCAGGCTGTGCGCAGAAATAAGAATGCGCGCACACACACACACAAACATACGGCTGTGGGTCAAAAATAGCCCCAAACTGGCTTGCCCTGGTACATGGACTGGACGAAAAAGCCTGCGGTTTTTGACCAGCGGAGTGAATTTGGACCAGCCCCATCCCAGGCTTTGCGCAGAGGTTGTGGTGCATGTTCGAGCTGGCCGCCTTCATGAAGGCCGGATCGGAGAAATTCGGCCGTGTTTTTCACGGCTCCCAGCGACGTTCCGTTGGGGTTTTCCTTGGAACACACGAAAAACAGAGGGCGCTGGGCGGCCTTTGGTTTTTCCTGCAAAACTGCTAAGAAAAAGAGGGCGTTGGGCGGCCTGTCCAACATGGAACCCACCAAAAAGCCCTTTATTTGGAGGGACTTGGCTTCCAGGCTTCAAGAAACGTCAGGTTCCATTTCAGATAAGGCGGCGAGGTTTTCCCTTCGGCAAAAGCGGAACAGACGGGGAGCGAGGCCCATCCGCAGCCGCGCCTGATCATCCGACCGACCAATGTGGGGCTCCGCGCCTTGCAGCCTCTGGGACCTCTGGGACCTCTGGGACTGGGATGACCTGGAGATTGTTCGCAAGAGTTGGTTGTGAAGTGTCTGGTCAAAATTCGCCACCAGACGATTCTGGTTGGGAGGGGTTAGGGGGGTTGGGAGGGGGTTGGGAGGAGGGGGGTGGTTGGGAGGGGACAGCAGGTTTTCGTCTTTGGTTCCCACCAGGATCTCTTGATTACGCGACCCACAGCCAAATGGGAGCAGCGGGAGCAACGGGAGTTCCGGGTGGGGCCATGAGGATATTTTTTGTAGAGGCGAGAGTGGGAGATGGAATGTATTTATGTACAGACAAATTTGGGAACTTGTCCAAGAGCTAAGAGACGCAAGTGGTTATTGATTTCCCAAGTATAGGTCTTCCTGAACTTGAAGGTGACAAAGTCATAAAATAAGTGGATGATGGGACCTTTCATATCCATCCTCAACCTCTAAATGGTTGCAGAAGTATTTATTCTAGGATGTACCACTTCTGTCGACGCTTGACAGACAGGTGCAACATATTTTCCTATAACCTCCAAACAAGTCAGGCATCACCAAGATGAAGATGATAAGAAAGCGAGGCGACATAAAGCTTGTGTTCTAGAATCTCTAGTTTGCTGGGGATTAGTCCTATTTCCTGCTCAACAACAAATATGTTCTTGAACAGGATCTTCAACCTTTCTTGCATTTCTTCCAAATGAAGTAAACAAAACAGACCAAACACCTCATTCCACGGTCCTTGCGGGGTTGCGGGTTTTCCGACTCACAGCCCGGTAGAGACCTGCCGTGACGCGGAGCCGAGATCGCTCGTGTTTCGTTTCGCCTCCGGGAGGGACAACTTTTTTTGGAGCTTCCGGAAGGAGATGCTTGAAGAGCAACCGAAGGTGAAGTACCATGGTTCTTGTCGATGTTGACCCCGGATGAATAAACCGGTTGATAAATATGGGGGTGTTCCCGTCCAAAAGTGATAAATCCCCACTACAACCAGGGACACCCCCATAAGAATAGGCAGGGTTTCTCAATCCGGGGTCAACATTATTTGGACGCCACGAAGTCCGTGCTCCCGTGAGAACTTTTTCCAGATGTGCCAGGGTCAAAAATCACCCCTGTACTGGGGACCAATGAGGCCGGCCAGGATCCCGGGCAGTCAGGATCCTACCCCAATGCCCTATTTTTTCCGGAATCGTCGGCCAAAGAAACGGAGTTTTGGACCATGGATGAAAAGTTGAGAAGGAGGAAGCTTCAGGGGTTCTGCGATCACTCAATATTTCTCCAACCAGTTCTGTGATACTTTTGGGAATCTCCCCCTTTGCATGGGGGGTTAGTCTTTGGGAAGCCCTTCTTTGTTGCATCACCCGATTCGTGGATTCCATTCCTAAGGCTGGTACAACGTCTTTGACCTCTCGACCTCCCTGGCGATCCTGGTGCTTTCCGCCATGCTGCTGCCTCTGATGCTGATCTTCGCAGGCGAGTCGCCCTCCCAAAAGACTCGGCCCGCTGTTCGAGAAGCCAAACGCCACGCGACCTTTCGGGGTGATCCCGATCCAGGGTGTGAGTTTTATTCAGGGACCCTTCGGAGAGAATTCGGTGGGGGTTGTCCAGTTGTCCACCAACCGCGTTTCAGGGGGTTCATTAGAATTCATAGCCACAAGAGGCGAAATACACTTTGCTCCGACTTTGGTCTCAAGCACCGGGCAACCCTATTCTAAGTACTGAACGCCCTTGTGGTAAAGTAAGTCCCACTTAGGGAACTTGTCATATTGCGATACTACACACCTACCAAGGTTGTCCAAGTACCCAGCAGCATTGCACGGCAAGCCTCCCTTGAGAGGAAAATTGCTGGGCACCTTCACCTCTGCGCTTCGGGGTGACTTCTGTGGCAACGACGCTCTGTGGGATGCGTAGTTTTGGGAAGGAATCAGGAAGTTAGAGGTTCAAGTTGTGGATGTGAGATTCTTTATACGGATGTGGTTTCAAGCTGCCCAAGTTGGTCCCTTACAGGACACATTTGGTGTAAAGCTAGCTAGTCTTCGCTGACGCCGGCAAACTCACACGGAACCCAAACAAACTCACTTTGTTTGCAGACACTTCCTGGGAGATGGAACTCTTTTTGAGTTCCTTCTTTCCGTCCGCAAGGGGCATGATGGTTGGAGCAATCTAAGCCATAACACCGCGTTTCTGTGTGGTTTCTTCCGGCATCAACCCAAGGCTTTCTGGAGTTCCGATCCGATAGCAAGTTCCGGTGTCTCGAGCCAGGTTTGGTGAACAGCTTCCGAGCCTACTTTCGCGGGGTGGAAGCTATGCGGCGCCAGCTTGAGGAGCGGGGTTGGTTGTTGGGGGAGAGGAGGGGGAGGGGGAGGTAAGAGGGTATGTCATATCCTGGGCGAGCGCATTTGGGAACCAAGATAGATTATTGAAGCAACGCTTGAAACTAATTTAGTTTATAACAATATGTTTCGAGCCAATGGGTACCATACCAGTTGGAAGGGTGTGGGTAAAGAAAGTCATAGGGCGTTTGAACCCTTTTTTGGTTCAATTTTGAGCGGACAGAAGTTTTCCCGCTGATGAATTGCATAGACTTCCAATGTTTGGTTTTGGTTTTAAACATCAGACTTCCGAACTTCAATGAAGGTTCCTCCAAGATGATGTGTTTGGGGAGATAGGCCGTGGAGGTTGTCCGAGCCAAGCGAAATCTTCGGTCCAACTTACTCTCCATTTGGGAGGGACGAGAAGGAGCGGGGGACGAGCCCAAGATTTGCCCGGTGTCAGCTTCCTGAGCCTCCCTTAGCGTAGCTTACGACGTATTTACGACTTACCCAAGGCATTTCTGGACATGGGTCTACCCACATGGGTTGGACTAAAGCCTGCGGTTTTGTGGTTCAGCTTTGACCCACTTTTCCTGAGGCGGTTTCTCCAGTTACCGGAGACGGTTGTCTGGCCAAGCCATGAAAGCGGTACGCGCGCATGCAGCTTTACCTCACCGCCTTCCGTATCGTGGTGAGGATTGGGGGGACTAAGATGTGCATGGAGCTGGTCCCAAACAGCGATCGTCATCGCAACCAGAGCAGCTTGCCCCTGTCCGCTCAGCGGCGCAACGAAGGCACACAAGCGGCGCAATGAAGGCCGTATGCCGCCCCGCGCGGCGAGCGGCGCGACGACCTGTATCCACGCCATTCCGCTTGAACTCATTCAGGTCACAGGTGTTTTTAGTGTCGGTCGCGCTCGATCTAGCTAACTGTGTGCTACTGTATGCCTGCGGCCCTTTTCAAGGCGGACGTGGCAACTCCCCATTTAGCTAATGCGGCTAGATGCCTTTGGCCAGGCGCGTTGCAAAGTCGAAGCGCGCACGAGCATAAGCCGCACGAGAATGAACCACGTTCGCCCAGCCATAATTTCTTAGGAGCTGAGCAAACAAGTGAAGCTACACATGTTTATAAAATACGCTAGACAGCATGATGGGATGGAGTTCCTTTCAAGAAGATCTGACATTTGCTGTTTGCTATCAATAGTATGGCGAGTCTTACGCATAATTTGCACCCACTCAGAGCATTGGCTTCTCAATTTTTATCGTGACCACAGTGAAGTGAACAGCGGACGTAGTAGGGCCAAATTCATCAGGTTTCTTGCTTGAGGGAGATTCTTATTGGATTCCTGTCGGGGTACCCAATGTCAAGCATTGCTTTTGTATTGATTCGGCGGTGGCTCAACTTGACTCAAAGCTTTCAGCTTTTGCTGTTCCCCTAGCCATCGCGAAGTGGCACTTTTCTTCACTCTCGTCATGAGTTTTGCATGCCCGAGATCGACCAAAGCAGTTAGCCTCCGAAGCTCAACAGGCAGGTTTTTTGCCTTGGGAGCCCTTCTGGGTCCGGATGTGACCCTATTTGTGTGCTAAGTGGTTCAAACTCTGCCACGGGAATTCACATGTGGCATTGGCTTCGCGATTCGCTGGGATACCAAACACTCCACTATTCTTTTCTCCCCCCAAAAGGATGTGCTTGTTCGCTTGACCTTTTGGCTGCTGACTTATTTGGTGAGTTTCCTTGTGTTGGGCTGCAGTTTAACGAGGAGAAGGGAGCTTTGGGCACCCCCTCTCTCCATCATGATGAAGCAGACCAAACACTTGCTGAGACAACAGATTGTGGAAAAGGAGGATCCCTGACATGATCAATACTCAAGGCTTGAAGTTGGTTCTTCCGGTACGTTCTGTTTTGGGCCCACCAGGACCCCTGAAGAGAACGGGGAGGCTGCGGCCAGATGTTTTCAGCGGGCCGCGCGTTCCGCGGTCGGGAGGAGTTTCGTTTGGCCGACGCCATGTGCCACTGCTGCTCCAGGGGCCACGAAGAGCAACCGAAGAAGTGTGACCGCGACCTGCTGAGCGCTTGCGCCTCGTTCCTACCAACATGGACACAGACCTCTGTAGAAAGACGACTCTCCTCATGGAGAGGGGGTCTGTGCACTTCCATGTCAGTTGGTGGGAGGGAAAGAGGGCGATCGCTAAAGTGTCCAGTACTTCATAGCCATAATGCTAGGAGACACATCGGTTTGAACTGTGGCCTGAACACTTTGACGTTTGATCAAAGGCCTGTTCGAAAAGGGTTCATAGCTTCCCGTTTCGTTGACCGGAGGCCGTTCTCGAAGAGACCTCCAATGAGCTTCCAAGTTGGAAGGGGGGAGGTTTAACAGCTTCGGCGAGACGACCGCACTTTGGGTTTGGGGTTCCTTGTTTTTTTCCTCGGGCCGAGATTCTACTCAAGAGATGAGGATGTCTGAGGAATTCCTGGCCGCATTTGCAGGTATGGGATGCCCTCTCATCTTCAATTTCTGGTTTCTCCATCATGGTCGGCCCCCAAAGGGTTCCTCTTTCCGGTTGCCGGTGCCTTCCTTGCTTGAAACATCGTGATCGAGATGTTTCCCCTCTGTCTCTCAACCCAAAACGGGTCGACCCTCTATGGAAGCCTCGCGCCAGACGATCTTTTGTCCATTTGACAAAAAAAGCGAAACATTTTTTGGGCTGGTTGGATGGGATCGACACCTTTCAGCATGTCCCCGGCTTGAGTTTCAAACCCCCCCTTTCACACCCCTCCCCATTTTTTTGTTTTTTGGCCGATCACCTGAGGCGTGGGCAAATGGTTCGGATCCGTTGAGGAGTTCGAGGTCTCGGTTCGGACTCAGGAGGGGTCTTGTTCAAGAGCTCGCGCGAGTCGTTGTCGAAACATGAATCCAAGATGCGTGCGTGTCAAAATGGGGGGTGTCATTCTTTTTCGAGCGTCTCTTTTTGTCCCCAATCCTTTGACCCCCAAGGTTGGAGTTTTTCTGGTTTCCGTTCCTGTACTAAAAAAACATCCCACACACACACACACCTTTTGGGTTTGATGTCTTTCTTTTGGTTTTCTAGAGGCAGCCCTTTGGTAAGGTTGGTCTTTCTGGGGCGCGCGCCACAAAATCCTTGGGCGAGGTTGCCTCGACCTTGGACCAGCAGCTGGGAGCGCACGCCTTTCCGTACTGCTGGCTGCTGGCGGCTACGAGCCCCATTTCTTGGCGCCTCGGAAGTCTCCGAAGTCTCGCCGGCCACTTGGGGTTTGGCTTTGGTGGGCAGCGATTTTTGGGAGCGAGTTTTCGCTTCCCCAACTATGTGCGGTGGGGCTTGTGCTGTATGCTGAGTCAGTTTTGGTTTGTCGCCCAAGTGTTCTTGGCTTGGGCTCGCTACACGCGGACTTTTCCGAACGCCAGCTCACAAGTTCCGTCCGCAATTCCCCGACTGCGCAGGTCGCAGGATCGGGCTGAAATTGCGACCGTGGATTGACGCACGCTTGGATTTGTGCGTGTCATGGTGCCGGAGTTGTCTCTCGCCGTGTTGCAACCTCGCCTCGGCCCCGCTGATTCGATTGAGTTAGCGTGCTGCCACTTGGATCACTTGTGCCACTGGGATCCAAGTAGCAGTTGCTGCGCCACTTAGGTCACTTGTACCACTTGAGCAGCCCAAGCAAGCTAATTGGCACTAGCGGCAGAAGTGGCACGAGTGACCGAAGTGTTTAAGCGAAGTGACCCAAGCGACAGAAATCAAGTCATCGTCCCACCCTGTTAGTGAGCAACAAAAAGCTGGAAAAGCACATCCATAGCCAGGCCCAAGACTGCAAAGAACTCAGCAGGCCTCTTCGCTTCGAGGCGCCAACCTTCTGGGAAGCCATCTCGTGACTTGCGCCGAATCTTGTCCGAAGACATCCGCAAGCGGTAGCGCAAAGTCAGAGGCTTCGCGCCATAAGTTCGCTGCGACCGATGTGATCCAAGTGGCCGCACGTGATCCAAGTGGCAGCACGTGATGAATGGTAGCAAGTGGCCGCAATGGCAGCAAGTGACGGCTTAAGAGAGCGTCCGGTGGACGGCCCGATGTTCACATCCAGGCAACAGTAATAAAACCTTTGCGCTTGCTGGGGGTATTTACTGTGTTTTTTGTCCAGTTTTGTTCAAGCCGTTTTTTTTTGGGTGTTTTTTGGGTAAACAAAGAATGTGTGCTTTGTCTGTATGTGCAAGGATGTATATGGGCTTGCTGATGTTCAATCCCGCGGAAGCTCCGATCCCATGGGAGAGAATTGGGCACCTCCTGGTGCTGTTTTGCGGAGACATCGCCAGACGAAAGCTTACCTTTTGTGCGCACGCAGGTCTTCTTTGGTTTCGTTCCTTTTCCCGTTTAACCAGAAAACGACACCTTCCGTATTTTTGCTGTTTCCACCAGCGTAAAGCAAAGTTTCACTTCCTGCAGTCTAGCTCTGGCAAAGGATATTGGCTCGGCTTCTTCCCCTTCATGTTTGTGTGTGGGCTGGTCCTCACGCGCAAGCTGCGCACCAAGCACGGTCTGTGCAAAGATACTCATCTGCAAAGCAGGAAAGCAGATCTAGTTGGCATAGCGCCAGAAACCCAATAGATATTGTTTTTTTTTGTAGGCAGTTCTACGACCACTTCTTTGAGCACAGTTGCCCAATGTCAGCTCGGTTTTTCGGGAGCGAAGCACCACCTATGAGGAATGGCAACCTACAAGATAAAACTGGGACATGTTCAGGTGGGTGTGTATTTTTTGCAAATGTACATGGCTTGAAGAGCGTGAACGTGGGAATCATACCTCGAATCATACCATCCAGCATGAACTACTACTACTACTACTACTACTACTACTACCACTACTACTCCTACTTCTACTATTACAACAACTACTAGCACTTACAAGTACGTACCACTGTCACTATTACCTGCTACTACTACTATTACGACTACTACTACGACTGCTACCACTACTACTGGCACTTACCAGTACGCTTGCAGCTAAAGTTTCTCCTACTACTTCTGCTACTGCTACTGCTACTACTAAACCTACCATTTCTTCTACCACTACTACTACCACCACTACTGCTACTACTACTACTACTGCTACGACTACTGCCACTACTACTACTACTACTACTACTACTACTACTACTACTATTACTATTTCTACTACTACTACTACTACTACTAGTACTACGACTACTACTTCTACAACAACAACAACAACAACTACTACTACTACTACTACTACTACTGTATTGACCTAAGTCTGCCACAATCCAAATCGTACTCCGAATCATACCCCGAATCAGACCAAACTTTTCGCGCGTGTGGCTGCAAGATTGCTGCAAAGCCAGACGCAGGCAAGTGCCAAAATGGGCTTGGTTTCTTCTTGCGAATCATACCTCGAAACAGACCCCGCAACATGCCCCGAGCCAGACCCCGAAACATACCCCGACCAATGCTACTACTAAACCTACCATTTCTTCTACCACTACTACTACCACCACTACTGCTACTACTACTACTACTACTACTACTACTACTGCTACGACTACTGCCACTACTACGACTACTACTACTACTACTACTACTACTATTACTATTTCTACTACTACTACTACTACTACTACTAGTACTACGACTACTACTTCTACAACAACAACAACAACTACTACTACTACTACTGTATTGACCTAAGTCTGTCACCATCCAAATCGTACTCCGAATCATACCCCGAATCAGACCAAACTTTTCGCGCGTGTGGCTGCAAGATTGCTGCAAAGCCAGACGCAGGCAAGTGCCAAACTGGGCTTGGTTTCTTCTTGCGAATCATACCTCGAAACAGACCCCGCAACATGCCCCGAGCCAGACCCCGAAACATACCCCGACCAACAACCAGGGCCGGGAAGGTTATTTGAGACAGACACAGGCCTGTGGGTAACTTCAGGTTACCCCTAGTTGTTTTTGCAGAGGATAAGCGGGCTTCTACGCCGGAACACCTCCAAACCACCAATCCAAACCACCAATTACACCACCAATTCGAGAGAAGACGGTACGCGAGGACATCCTCTTGAATCTTGGAGTCGTCGTGTTGCTCCTGCCATTGTACCTGCTCAGCCTCAGCCTGCACTTCCTTGTTTCATCTTATGGGGAAAACGACATCCTGTGGGCCTTCGTGTTTGCTGGCCCTTGGCTGCTGGCAAGCGGCGTGGCATGGCGTTGGTGGTTGAAACCACGCGCATGATTCCGTGCCAAATGGGTGTGACTCGGGATTTCACGGGTCCGCGGCCCTGGGTGGCACACCTCACATTTTTTTTTAAAACGGGGGAAGCACCGCTTCTGTGTGGGCCGGGTACCGGTTCTTAGATTTGGCGGCCAAGCTGGGCTGGCCGCTGCCAGCAAGCCCCGCGCCCGAAAGGCGCTTATGAAACCGCGGTCTGTTTTGCTTCTAGTGCTTGACTTTTGGTGGTAGTGATTCAGGCAAACCTTGGCTTCCTGGTTTGGCGGTTGCGGCATCGCAAGTTTTTCCATTCGCGAACGAGAGCAGGCGAGTTGGTCCCGAGTTGGTTTGCTCCCTTCTGAGCGAGTGATGGTCTCAAGGTTGCTTTTCCCTTCGGAGAAGTGTTTTGCGACAGCGCAGAAGGACCGCGTGAGAACCCTCTTTCAGGCTTGGATTCGGAGAGTCCGGAGGAGCAGCGCTGAAGACCAGGAACCTCACATAGGAAAACACACACATTTTGGCTTATTTGCTGGTTTTTCTGCTTCCTTGCTGGTTTTTTCGAGGAAGTTCCGGAACATGCGCGGAAGTGCAACCTTTGATGTGTTTGCACGTTTCAACTAGTTTCAGCCGTGAGAAATACTATCTGCGGGGCGTGGAAACCGGCAAGAAATGCGCAGAGATCTGCGGACGCGGAAATCCATGGGACATTCGCGGGACCCGAGTTCCTAGCTTTAGTGGCTGGGTATCACGAAGAGTCAGGATTGGCAATAAGCGTTTTGCGTGCGCGAGCAAGGCGCCAGCCCGGCAACCCGAATGGCATCTTGAGCGCGTTGTTTGTGCCAAAGTCACAGAGGGTGGCAAAAAATGCCCCGCGAGTCGTCCGCAAGTCTCGCATGGCAGAAACCATGGCTGAAACCATGGTTTGCCGGGGTTACGTTGGAATCGAATCATTCCAGTGTTTCTTAGGTGTGGCAGTATGGGACTGAGGCAACCCGACGGGTATATAGTCAGAGGTCGACTTGGTGGACATGCTGCTACACCACGCCAATGTAGATTTTGAACCCCCCATTGCCCCCCGAAGGGTCAAAAACAAAACACACACACACACACGCACACGCACGCCACCCCCCCACCCACCCACACCCACCACCCCACCGACCCACCCCACACCCACCCACACCCACCCACCCACCCCACCACCCACCCACCCCGACCCACCCCCACCCACCCCACCCACCCACCCCACACACCCACCCACCCACCACACCCACACCCACCACCACACCCACACCACACCCACACCACCCACACCCACACCCACACCCACACCCACACCCACACCCACACCCACACCCACACCCACACCCACACCCACACCCACACCCACACCCACACCCACACCCACACCCACACCCACACCCACACCCACACCCACACCCACACCCACACCCACACCCACACCCACACCCACACCCACACCCACACCCACACCCACACCCACACCCACACCCACACCCACACCCACACCCACACCCACACCCACACCCACACCCACACCCACACCCACACCCACACCCACACCCACACCCACACCCACCCACGCCCACGCACGCACGCCCGCCCGCTCGCCCGCCCGCACGCACGCGCACGCACCCGCACGCACGCACCCACCCACACACGCACCCACCCACACACCCACACGCACGCACGCACGCACGCACGCCCCGCACCCGCACCCGCACACGGACACGCACACGGACACGCGCACGCGCACGCGCACGCGCACGCACACGCACACGCACACGCACACGCACACGCACACGCACCCGCGCACGCGCACGCACACGCACACGCACACGCACACGCACACGCACACGCGCACGCGCACGCGCACGCGCACGCGCACGCGCACGCGCACGCGCACGCGCACGCGCACGCGCACGCGCACGAGCGCACGCGCACGCGCACGCGCACGCGCACGTGCACACGCACACGCGCACGCACACGCACACGCACAATGGCATAAGGGCAAGCCGCCAAACCCTAGCTTCCAAAGATCCAACAATGCGAGTTCCTCAGATTTACAACTCCCGCTGGTTGATTTCGATGAGGTAACAGTGGGGTGTCCCATCAAGCGGGGCTGTCCCATCAATCGGGGCTATCCTCAGATGATCCCCGGCCAACAGTTTCACTGTTTGTGGGTTAGATGGAAATCCCCACTTGCAAACACCTGCCTAGATGGCCAAGTTGCTGCCTTTTTCAGTCACTGTTGCTGCTTTTTGGGGTAAAGTTCATGGAAAAACACAGCAACTGGCAATCCAGGTGAAAGCTAAGGGGATGGCCGGGAAGCACCAGGCAACGCATCCACCGATTCGGTTGCATCCAGGGTTGAAGAGACGTGCAAGTCTGATCCAGTTTCAGGGATCCTACTTTTGGTTGGCTCTAAAGGGAAACCACATGAAGCAGGACCATTTTGGGCAGGGTCTTCTATCGAGACAAACCCCCACAGATGGTCCCATTCATCCACATTCGGCCGGGGCAGATCACTGCTTTTGGTAGAGGACGAGGTTTTCGGGCGCGGTTGCTCTCAGTGTTCGCAATCAGTAGGTTCCAACTTGGAAGGCCCAGGGCGTCGATCCTTGGATCGAGATCGACGGGGGTGCCAGTGGCGCCAACGCCAAGGACCAGCCGATCCAAGCAACGGTTTTCCGCAATGAATGGTACCCTGCCGGAAAACAAAGAAAAAAACACACGTTCTTGTCGAGGCTGCCCTTGTTAAGCTTGGTTTTAAGGGTAATTCAAAAAGAACCAATAGCCCCCCTCCCCATTTTGATTTTCTCAGCCATGCCTTGTTGCAAGGACCGGTTCCTGTACTTGGGACTGGTAGGGCAGGTTCTCCCTTTTTTAGGGACCATGACCCAGGAATTTGCGGTGAAAGCTGCAGGTTGGCACTATGCGAGCGACCTGTGCACTCTGAGCGGTTTTTCTCTTTGGCATCGGTTTCATTCGCCCCTTTTCCAGGGTTGCCTTTGGCCCTTGGAGGGTTCAAGGGTTGTTCCCCATTTTCCCCAACTCAACCCGGCTCAAGTTCTTTGCCCTTCAAACCAATCCCGAAACTCGGGTGAAAGAGTCACGAAGCTTGGGAAGACTGGTTCTACTTGCTCTTTTGTGGGGAAGACTAGAAAATCGAATCGGGGAATTTCCCACCCCCCTTCCCCTTAAGTTGCTAGGTCCCCCAGTAGTGCCCTTCTCTACCCTTGTTTGGTTGGGAGGCTTCCCATACTAACATAGACAGAAAAAGATCGGGTGCCCTTATTCTAACCTCTCAAATCTAAAGAACCTCGTAGGCATTTCCACCCCCCCTCCCCAGGCCTATCAGCACCTTCCCCACCCCCTTCCCCTTAAGGCCTTAAGCTAGTGAGGACATCAAGGAGGCGGGGTGCAACGCCATCGTGGCGGGGAGCGCGGTCTTCAACGCCCCCGACTACGCGGAGGCGGTGAAGGCCATCAAGGAGGCGCTTCGAGCTTTGACATTTGGACCGGCTCTTGAGAGGGCCAGGTTTGGGGCCCTGGTTTTGAGGTTTCTTGGCAAATATGTGGGTGTGGGTCAACATGACACCACCAGGATATGGACCACAGTTTTTTTTTTCTCCGTCTTTTTTCTTCTTCTTTTTTTCTCGTCAGTGTTTCCATTGACCAGGCTGCCATTTTGGGAATCTTATTTTGACCCACAGGCTCGATCTTTGTTTTCAGGGTGCCATGAACGAAACAAAATGCCCTCCAAAAAGGACACTAGGCCGAGCCACGTCAGCCATGCAGCAGTTTCTTTTTCTTTGGGAAACGTGGAGCCATTGAACTCACCAGGCATGAGATCCTGAGCGGCTGGCCTCTAGCTGAGGGGGCAAGCTATTGTGTCAGAGGCTCATACCGTGAGCCCCATCCCGGCCACAAGAGGCCCCCTTTCGGCCAGCGGGTCTTACCGCTGGTCGTTCTCTTTTTTCCGAGCCCGGGGCGGTCCCGGTGAGCTAGTTTCCGAGCGAAGATTTTGTTTGAGATCACTCGGTGGATCTTGGCCCTGAGCTATCGAATCTTGAGCGGGGCGGATAAAAGATCGAACGCGGGAGGGCTCAACCCGCAAGCGCATGTTGGAAGGCGTGTTCTTGAGATATGGCTATATATATATATATACGTGCTCCCGAAACCGGTGGCTTTCTTGCTTCTGGTTTCCCAGAAAAGAAAGAAACCCAACAGCTGAAAAGAGTAGCCTCAAAACGCACAGCCACAGAGAAGTCGTGCATCCTGGGTAATGCAAGGTTCTGTGTGTTGCCAATGCTCTGGCACGCGAATTGATTGATTGGGTTAAAGCCACAGTCATTTGACCTGCCCGAAGCTGCCGGGGTAATGCGGTTCTGCATCAATACCAGGCACTTTTATTGCATCAACGCTATAGTAACAATGTTATTTTTTTTGTAGTTTGTTATGTTCTTCATTTTGTCAAGGAGGGCAAGAAAGGGGAGTAACACAAATCCAGCTACTTGGATGACAAACCCTGTTCGCCGCTGTTTTTGTGTTTGCCGGTGGCGAGAGTAAGATTGGGCCGGGCTGCTTGACGCGAAGTACCCTGGAACGGTATGGCAGGTGGTTCCCATCGAGTGGGAGAACAGATGGCTGGATTTATGTATGAGCGGGACCTCGAAAATTTGGGAGGGTGCCACTGACCCAGGGAAAATGCGACTGTTCCAATAAACGTGGGATATTTGGGTCCCCGACGGTTTCCGATTTTGATGCGGGGCCAAGCTCCTTGGGGTGGCCCATGACGCCCAGAGCTTCGATGGGACACCTTGTTCAGGGGCACCAGCCCTTTATCCCCTCGAACATGAAATATAAGGTCGGGGAGTGGGGGGGGGGGTGAGGTAGGTTTCGGACTTCATTCCACTCCAGTTTTTTTCGGTCTGGGGTGGGGGGGGGAGGGGGGGGGGTCTGGTGTGGAGTGTCGCTGCCTACCTTGGAAGGTGCTCTTTATTCCCCTATCGTGAGGGGGGGCTTTCCTCGTAGGGGTATCCTGTTTCTTGGCAGAGAGCAAGCTGTCTCTTTTGTTTGAGTATGTGGTGGACCAGATATGAATCAGACGCTATGTTCTTTTGTCCCAAGCCCAACCATGGTCTTCACAGTGCCCTTTGAGTGGACCCCTGAACATGGTGGCAGCCGGTTCCTCGCACAATATTTTGTCCGAGGCAACAAGTCTTTTTATGTTCATACCATGCCTTGCAAGTGAAGATATCCCGTTCCTGGACGAAGCCTGGGATCCTTGGGATCGACTCAACCGTGGATGTCGCTGATTGAAAGCTGTCAGCCCCACAAAGAAGGGCCTGGGTTTGCTGAAAGCCAGCAGTGCACAGGGAATAGTGCGGGGAAACTGACCAACCGGTGGTGCTTTTTCAAGATTGTCCAACACCAACCGGTTGTTTTTAGCTTTTAAACTGACCAACCAACCTTTCCCCTTTTGTCCTGGGCCACTCGAACGCTTTTTGGTGTTCCGTTCAGCGGGTAGGCGTCAAAGCAGGGCCCCCGCTAGGAGTGGGCGGTGTTCCTTGATGGGCGCACCCCTCTATTTTTCTTTTCTTTTCTGCTTTAAAGAGGAACCGGGAAACCGGCGGGTGTGAAGAAAAACGCCACGCCCGGCCGGGTGTTTTTGTCCGCTGAGGCTGTTCGGCTCTGTTAAGCTCAGCGAGAAATGGCGACGCCGCGGCTCGGCGAGAATGCCCGAGCCAAGCTCGGGTGAAGGCGGCGAAACGTCCCCAAAGGCCGCAACTGCGAAAGGATCCGCCCTGTTGGCCTATGGGTTTTGTTGGTCCATCTTAATACCACACCAGGGGGGTTTGGGTTTTGACAATTTCAGCATCATTCTGACGGTTTTGCGCTGAGCGATTTAGCGATCCGGGGTAACACGAGCGAGAATTCGATGTAGGTGCAGAAGAACTAGCGGATCCGATTCTTGTTTCAGTTTAAAGAGAAGGTCATTGGATCCCCGATTGAGGGGGCACGAAAACTCAATAAGCTTGAGCTCAAGAAATACTTTTTAGAGGTCCCAAGATTCTCCAAGGAATCTTCCAGCGTGCCATGTCTGGCCATGGGTGTGGGATTTTGGTCATCAAGGATCTTCCTCTTGGGGCTCTTTCCTCAACCCAAAGGCCGAAAGGCACCATACTCTTTGGCATTGGAGGCGAAATCCGCTTCGCACCACTAGATGAAGCCTGAAATTTATTTTGGCCCATGTGAAATCGCGTTTAATGGACCCGGGGATCCTCTGGTGCATAGGTCGCGGCATTCAGCTGTGGTGCTTTATGTATTCATGTGCTTACTTTTGTTGGGGGGGGGAGCAGCTTTTGTTTGGTTTTTATAGAAGGAAGCCAAGACTCCAACCTTTTCTGCAGATTTATTGGGAATCCATGGCGTGAAAGGCAAGCCCCGGGCTGGGTTCGACGAAGCACCATGGACGAACTTCTGTGGGCTTCATGCATCCCAAAGAGTGCAGGATTTGGTCCACAGCACACACCCTCAGGTTTGTCTAGCGATTGCTTAAAAACCCCTTTGTGAAGATGCGCAACTAGCACAATAGTTGTGGTCAATCCACTTGCTGACCTAGCTGAGCTGAATTGTTGGGACTTGGACCCTGGTGGAGAATGGTCACAAGTAGAGGGAGTTCGCATCGATGACCACACCATGATGGTTGTAGGTTGTGAATATTCCCAGTTTCATGGAACCCTTAACTCGAACGTACCCTACATATGACCACTTGGGTGACCCATTTGTGGATGATAGCCACTTATGAATGGGGTCCTCCCGTTTCCCGCCGTGATGTTCGCAGTCTTGAAATTGGCACCCAAGAGGTTAAGGCCGCCCCCCAAAAGGACTCAAATGCGACCCAACTTCTGAGAGAGCCACACAACTCAGCCCCCGAAAACGAGCTCGCTTCTCACGAAAACGTGGGGTTCTCAGGGCTGAAACAAGGCCTGTGGATTCTTGGCGGAGAATGCAATGCGGGGGGAGCTCAAGACTAAGCAGGCCGCTTTGGACCCCCATTTTTGGGCTGCACCCATTTGGGGTTCCCCTATTTTGACACCTACCCTTGAGCACAGCTGAAATGTGTGGAGGTCAGACGTTGTCCCCCCTGGTGCCGGCTGAGGCGGGTGTTGACTGGTCCAATTGACCCCCAGAGGATCGGATCCTACGGATTTTTGCTCACTACTTGGCTGGTCGGACTCACGTGGTGGGCCACTTGGGTTACCTAAGAGCAAGTTGTTTTTTTGTTCCACTTCGGGGAGTCAACAGGCGAATACCAAACCAAGGTGACCAACCACATGCTCACTGGCCCGAAGGTTCGGCCACGCAAGTAGGAGGGGTCGGGTGACGCTTAAGGGGAAGTGTAGTGGAAAGCTGGGTTTTAGGTTGCCCATGTAAATTGAACACACTGATGGTTCCAAGATTCATTTCGCACCAATCGGTTCCATCCGCAGTCTGGGTTCCTTGCCCTGAACGTGTTCTTCCTTTTTGCCCGGAGCTCTGGAAGCCGAGCCTTGTGCAAACCGACTGCCCGCTTCTCCAGGGAATTTGATCAGCTGCTGTTGCTGAGCCCCCCATAGTAATCAACCGCAGTGTGGGTTTTTCGGGGCTGTGTCCCGTGAGATGTGGGGAATCTCCCCACTTTTGGAGGGGGCCTCTGGGGTGGATGAATTGGGGTCAACATGTCCAAGGCATCACCTCGCCCAAAGTCAATGCGTCTTGGGCGCTGGTTGGAAAAGCTGAAGGGGGGGAAGTTGGGATATGTTGGCCGGGATCATGGTCAGATGCTTGGCCTAAAATTGACCAGTTTGGTTGTTGGGAGGTTCATGGACCCTTAACGGAATCTTCAGACGGCCATTGGAGTTTGGGAAGCGTGCCCATGACCTGCAGCTTTGGAGTTTTGACCGTTCGCAACTGACAAGCTTGGTAGTCTATTATTAGTTTGGGGAGGACGTGGGGGGGGGGGGGGGGGCAAGTTTCAAGACATAATGGCCGAGCCCCGATTTTCCCTCGTACTCTTGGGCAGAATATCAGGTGCCTCTTTTAGGTTAATTTGGCTAGAAGTAGATGGGTTGCACTGGTTTGCATTGGTTTTGTTCCATCTTTCGGGAAATCCATGTATTTTCTAAAAGGCCACCTATGGGCAAAATACAACGAGTCTGGCTGAACCAGATTCTCGAAGGGCTGGGAATGATTGCTGCTCGAGAAGGCACCTGTGACATAGGTGTGTGTGTGTGTGTGAGAACACAGGAGTTGGTCGTCCTTTGGCACCGTCGACGCAGACGCCAGATCAAAATGACTATCTTACCGGTGTTTGGTTGATCAGCACAATTATTCTGTTGAAACTTGATAGACTATGTGTATCTGTAATATATATATATATATAATATACACAAATTGCTTCGTTGTTGTTTTTTCATCCCGATCTATTCCACATCCACCTCCGCTGCCTTGAAGGCAGTACTGCGAGGGCTGGATGCCAGGGATGCAGCGCGGCGCCCCAATCTGCCGTTGCGGTTGCGGACGGCTCGAATGGCAAACCAGGGTCAGGCCCCAACTGCAAGCTTTTGTTTGATTTCCCTTGAAAGCAACCCTCAAAAGTTGTTGCCCGCAAAGAAGATACATGCATTTCGGTGTGTCTAAAGGACTGGAATGCCCCCACTCTTTTTGGCGGTTGAGCCTTTGGCATCCTTTGAGTAGTTTCAGCCATACACACGTGCGTGTTTTTTCTCTCTCGGTGTGCACCCTTTTGGGGTGCATGATCTGATGCAGGAGGGACCCTAAAAGACTCGGGGCTCAATTTAGATCAAACACAGGTAAACAATGGTGGTGATATAACGATCGTTTCCGGTCGTCTGGACACACGCTTTGAGGGCACACCGCGAAAAACAAAATGCATCCTCTACCCGCCGATTTTACCTTCTGGGTACTGTAGAACTTAGGCGGGAGGTCTCGCTTTCTTTCAAAGGGTCAGCCAAAACCCAGGGCAACATCTGAATAACCGTCTTTTCCCTGGTTTCCGACCCTGAGCATTGTACGCCTCATCTTAGGCAATTTCTGGGATGGCGTGATGTCTGTTTTTCTCCCAGAGTTCCTATGATGTCATTAGGTTAAAGCGCGCCATCCACGAGTTTTTCTCTTTGATGCTTTCTCATTGATGTTTTCTCATTTGCCGAGTTTCTTTGTCATTTCTTTAAATATTGGGCGTGTGTAGAGTCTTTAACCCGACTGGAAAACCCCCACGATGGAACAAATTGTTTTGGTACCTGAGGTGGCTTTTTTCCACAGGTTATGGGTCTTTAGTTGGAACACGTCGACATGTTTCGGTACCTTTAATAGCCTTTTTTTGTTTCTACATCTATCTACATCTGCCATATATATATATATGTATTTGTCCATGTCTACAGCAGCCGGCGGCTCCGAGTGGTGTTTCCAATTTCCAGTCGACCTGACCTCGCATCGCCACATTTGCGGCCATGGGAAAAGAAACAAAGATTTACAAAGGCAGGGTTGGGCCTCACAATGTGCTAAGAACATTTTAAACCGACCATCATCAGCATCAGCATCATCATCAGCATCAGCGTCAGCATCAGCGTCAGCATCAGCATCATCCTCCTCCTCCTCCTCCTCATCATCATCATCAATGTATCCCTCTTTGTTTGGTTGTTGCCCTACGAATCATCACCATCATCTTCTCTTCCCCTGGTTGGTCCCTGTAGGCGTGTCCCTGGCCGCCTGCTTCGCGGAGTTTGTGGGCATGACGCTCTTTGTGATGATCGGCTGTGGCAGTGCCATGGGGATCCAGGGCTCCGGTAGCTCGGGCGGCAGCGGCGGCGATGCGGAGAGCACGGCGGGGGAGACCACCTCCATGAGCCCTGGATGGATTTTCTGGGGGTTTGAGGGGGGGGGGTCCGTGTTTTTTTTTGGTCAAGTTAGTTCTTGCCCGGCAAAGCACCTGGGATTATTATTGCGGGGCGGGGGGGGTTCTTTTTTTTCCTCTTTTTTTTTTCCTTTTCTCTTTTTTTTTCTCCTTTTTTCTTTTTCTTTTTCCGTTTTTTGGTCAGGCGAATTCTTGCCTGGCAAGGTACCTGGGATTATTGGGGGGGGGGGGGAGAATGTTGACCCACACCCTCGTCAGCAATGGCTTTTTGTTCTTTTCCCGGAAGCCAGTTGATCGGTTCATCCTCCAGTGAAATGGCAAAGCGACTGGGTTTTCCTGCTGAAAAGTCGCCACTTTCAGGATTCCTGGCTGGGTCCTCATGGTGTCCTTGGTGTTTGGCCTCTCCATCACCACCTTGGCGTACACCATTGGACACTACAGCGGCGGCCATCTCAATTGTGCCGTGACCCTGGGGCTTGTGCTCACCGGCAACTGTCACCTGCTGCAGGCGGGTTCCATTCAACTTGCACATGGCTAAAGCCAATCAAGAGTACGTAACAAGCCAACCAATGGTTGGTCATGTTTGGTAGGAAATTCATCTAAAGGCAGGGGGGATTATAGTGATTTGATCCATACTCATAGTGTGGCATAGTATGCGAGCACGGTCAAGTTAGGTGGGTTGATTTGCAGATAGGAAGGTGGATGGTCATACCAGCTATAACGGGGATTGTTATGGTCATTCAAAATGTTAAGGTCTCCTATTGCGGGATGGATGGCCACAAACCATGCACAAGCTTTTGATTATGACACATATGTGATATCCGTAACACTTGGAATCAATGATTCTGGATTTGGCTGAACATATCTTTCGATGTTTTTCAAACTGGTTGGTCCACCAAAGAACTTGGGATCATGTCTTGTAGTTGTCCGGGTTTCCCTCGAAAGACTGTGGCACCGCCAGGGCCTGTGCAACTTCGCCTCCCAGATGATGGGCTCGGTGGCTGGTGCCGCCATCCTGTGCGCCATCTTCCCGCCTGAGCTGGACATGACGAAGTCTCTGGGGGCGAACAGCGTGGGTCCAAAGTGGAACTGGTGGAACGCCTTGATCGGTGACTGGAGTGCATCTGGATTAGTTCTTGTTGGCTTGGTTGTAGTTTGCTGCTTGGTGGACTTTGCATGTTGCTTTCCATCCAATCAAGAGATGACCCCAGTTTTTCTTTCAGGACGGATGTTGGAACATGTTGAAAGAACTGCTTGCAGGTGAGATCATGTGCACGTTCCTCCTGGTCTTCGTGGTCCACCAAACGGCCTGCAATGTGAAGTCGGCCATGAACCGCAGCCAGGCTTGCTTGGCCATCGGCCTGGCGGTCTTCATGGCTCACTGCGTGATGATCCCCATCGACGGCTGCTCCATCAACCCCACGCGCTCCTTCGGCCCGGCGCTGCTGTCCCTCAGCCGCATGGAGGCGCCCAAGGCACAGGATCCGCACGGAGGCGCCGCGGTGCTGGTTGGGGAACCGGTGGTGGGTGTGGTGAAGGAGCCGGTCGTTGACGACCACGTCGCGGGGCCCAGCTTCTGGCGCGACATGTGGATCTTCTGGGTCGGCCCGCTGCTGGGAGCGTGCCTGGCTGCCGCGGTCCACAAGCTCATGATCGTGCTGGACTCCATGGATGTGGCCAAGGCGGAGCAGAGGCCAGAAAAGAAGCTGAAGCACAAGACCACGCAATTGGAATTTTGAGCCACCGGTTGAGCTTTTTGGCTCAACAGATTTAAGCAGATTTTGGTAGGTGTGGCAAATGGTCTGCAATTTCTTGACGGTCTCCTCGTTTTCCTTAGGGTTCCCAAAAGAGGCCCATGGCTTGGAGACGCGGGCTCAAGCCTTTGCACGATTTTGCACAAGTGCTGCGAATGTGTCTAGTGCTTGCCCTTCCGGCGAGCGATTTACATCGTAAATTCATGAAACTCCAACAGCGTCTCAGTGCTGGCGACTTCGTCTTCGACCAGCGAGCCAAAGAAAGGTCAACCCGGTCGCGTGCGTGTCTTTGGGCTCGTGGACCCAGGAACCACCCTGGTTTTTATGTTTCTCTGCAAGTACTGTGGATGGACGCGAAATCCATTTCGCACCACCTAAGAAACCCTAGAATGATGGCTCCCCTGTAAATACTAACAAACAATGGTTTCAACCATGAGGGCAAGCCTTGAGGACCAACCGCCTGAAGGAACCGGTCGCCACATGTTGCAAAACGAAGGTGATGGACATAGGAATGCATTGGGGGAATACCTTCGCAAATTCTGGGTGGACGTAAATCCAACCTCATGGCCATGGGTCATAACCTATGGCTCCATTTTGGGGCGGATGAACACCCATGTACCACCTATCTTGATGTTCACCAGGGGTACAGGGTTTTGACCCACAGCCACATAAATGCTGTCCACTGGAGAGTCTTCGATTAAAAGTCACCACACTGGTGTTTTCTTTCAAGTGGATCGCCTTCTGAATTATGCCCAAAGCCTCTATTGTGATTCCCTTCAGAGAACTGATGAGACATGGTGGACCCCCATTTTAATTTGTATTCAAAGGGAAGGCAATAGTACACCAACTGTTTGAGGAAATGGGCTGATTCCTATTTCGAGAAACACCCATGATTCCCTACAAAGACCCAGCAAGCCATACGCCTAAGAATCACCTACAAGTAGAAGCCCTGTGGCACAGCCGGTTTATACTTGGCCAAGATGTATCGTTTAAGGAAGCTTTCGGACAAGTCCATTCAAATTGGGTTGCCCTTGGGTTTGACCAAAAGAACTCGACCAACAACATCCATTTCGTAAACAAAGTTCTTTGCTTTAGCTTGGTTTTAAGAATCCCAAACGGGGGTGCCTTTTGTCGGGTGCACCTAAATGTCAAAGCACACGCACATTTCTGAAGTAAGGCTGACCCCGGGTCCCTCCAAAAGTAGGATGAATCCCCAAGTAGAAGAAGACAGCCCCTGATCAAAAGCAACCCGGGGGTCTGCAAAAATGGGGTGCCCATTCCCCACTTTGGGAGTGTCCTCTTTTTCGAGCCTTGCAATGAACGAACGTCTCCATCTTTGGGCCATTTTTTCGGGGGTCCGGAACCCTACAAAAAGCAAGACGCAGCCAAATGTGACTCGCTGCTTTCTTTTTCGTTGGCGCTGAAGAAAGGCCCTGGTGGTTCTGGCGGAGCACACCCTGTCCAGCGCCGCTGTGGGGGAGTGCTCCGTGTGGCTAGGGGCCTCAAGAAGGGAGGGTGGGTCTGGGGTGGGTGCGGGTTTGCCCAAGCCACTCGGGTGTCTGGGGTGTCTGGGTGTCTTCCCTTTCGGGCGCTCGGGATTTCTGAAGGACCACTTTGGGTGCCTTTCCTTTTAGGGCTGCTCGGGTTCCAGAGCTGAAGGACCCATGGCAGGTTGCCTTTCCCAGGCCTTTTGTTTGCGGCTTCTACACGGGCGTCTAGAAATGGCCGGGGGTGCGTGCCAGGGGAAGCAAGGTACCCATTCTTCTCTGGTTGATTTTGAAGCCAAACCAACTGCAAGGCAAGGTGTGTTTCTTGTATGTTTCCCTTGAAATCCAACGGGACAATTACCGATTTTCCGGGTTTCCGTTTTGACCTTTGCCCAGATCGGTTTTGGCTGAACATAAAGATCATTTACCAGTGTTGAGGAACCGAGATTCGTCCCCTCATTGCCCTGAAGTTTTAGCTACTTGCACGTGGTTTACTCGTCCAATCGAAGCCGAACCCCAACCAAATCGCAGATCAGGAGGGCTACTTCCAAGGGCCCAACATCTGGTGGAAGCTGCCATGAATTGTAGCTGCCAGGGGCCCAACATGGTGGTTCACATAGGGGTCCCTGCGATCAGTGTCTCATATATTGGTCCTTTTGCGTTTCCAAGAACACCTCCACGAAGGGTAAAGTAGGGCCCGGGTGCTTTTTTGCAAATACGGGCAGTGTCTACAGTCTCCATACTTGGGGAGTTGATGGGCCACTTTGTATACAAGAGCTCAGCAGCTCAAAGCAGCCCATTCACCCTGTGATTCCCCTTGGTCATTTTCAAGCAGGGTTACCAAAAATGGGTTGGCAATGTGTTTAGGGAGTCAGCGTTTGAAGTCACTGGCAAATCAGCTTGGAATCCAAATGGGCAAATCACCTATGAGTTCCCTCCCCTCGCCTTGCCTTCCCCGGGTTCCTAATCACAGCACCCAATCCCAAGAAATGCTTGGAATGCAGAGAAATACTGGTGACGTTGAACCCCCACCCCCCCAAACCATCAGAATCCAACCAACCTCCAACCCGCCCATCTCCACCAACCCACCCCCATCCACCCCACCCCCAACGCCACCCCGCCTCCACCCCAACCCCTCTCCAACCGCTGCGAGGGCGCTGCGGGCCGGGCAGCTGCTGGCCTCCTGCGGAGCCGGGAAAGCTCAGCACTCGGCCACCCGTCCGGAAACGGTCCAGGGAAAATCATGGGGTGTCTCTTGTTAGGAGTCGGGACCCCCCAAAAATGATTTTACTTGGTGGCTCCCAGCCATGCGGTTCCTGAGCCTTTAAGCTTTTAGCTTTTGGGTTTAGTGGTAGTTTCCATGTAACCCACTAGAAACGAAACTTTGAGCGGGGGATCGGAGGGCAGCCCAGGAATAGTGGAGTCTTTCCTTCCCTTTAAATCCGGTACTGAGGCTCAAACAAGAGGTACTTCTGTGGGAACATCTGCTTGCGCTGGCTAGCAGCTTTCCCATTGTTTCCGAGGACCCTGATTCTCCCATGGTCATGAGGGAATGTGTCTTTTTTTGTTCTGTTTTTTGAACCCTCGTATTTTTTGGGGAAAGTCTTCTTCCCTTTTCAATTTGTCTTTTCTTTGCCCTTTATGGCCAGCTTTCTGGGAGGGTGCATGTGCTTGGGCGCGATGTTTTTTAGCCGCGGAGCAACAAGCATCGCTCGGAGGTGGGAAGCCATCTTCGGTCCTTCACGCTCTGCCTCAGGCCACCGGGGTTTAGACCGATTCGGTCCGAAGGAACCTTCCGTCCGGTGAAGGTTACAGCGGGGCGGGACATATCCTCTGCCGAGTTTTCCATGTTCAGCCATTTTTTCAACCGCCTCTTGCCGGCCGGTCTTTGGATTTAACTGACAAGAGTCGGATCCCTGGAAGCCGCAGTCGAGCGGTGCCCATGAGATTTTACACGGAACGGGGTGATGGGCTTTGGGCGGGTTGCCGTTTTCGAAAGAAGAAGAAGAAGAAGAAGAGGAGAAACAGGGTGTGACATATTTTTTAAGGGTCCCCAAACGTTTGGTGGCGAAGGGAAGGCCCAAGGAGAAACGCTGAGGGTACATGAGGGCGTAGGAATCGGACCCCCACAATGGATTTCGTTTTTCCAGTTGATGTCCCTTTAACAAGGGGTACCGAGGCTCAACAAAAAGACAGACTCAACAAGGGCAAGCCTTGTCCGGAATTTCCAACACACCTTGGGGCTCGCTCATTTTTCTGCAGACTGAGTTGTAAGTCCAGTAAATGCTTAGGGGATCCATTGGCATGGGCGTGTCTGAAAAAACAGTGGAACCCCCAAAAACCGTGGGCTACCTTTGACTTCCTGTGTTTCGACCCCCCCAAAACCGACCGCGGGGTACCTTGGATTTCAACCAAAACAGGCCCATTTTTGGGGATGGCACCCGCTTGTAGGCCCTCGAAACACGGACATCCCCCAGCCAGCCCGTCGACTGACGTCAGGCCAGGGGACCTCGTGGCCCTGGCGCCGAAGTCCACGGCGTCCCTGGAGGAGGCGCCGCGGGCTCCGTCGGTTTGGAGGAAGCCCCGTTGAGAGAGACGGGTGCGAGTGAGGAGTGAACCGAGGAAACCACACAAATTGGATGGTTTATAGGGGCCATTCATTTCCGAAAAACGGGAAACCGCCCAAAGTGGGATGGTTTAGTTCGGCAGTTCCATGCCATTTCTCAGGGCCCTGGCTGAGCAGCAAGGTGAGGGAAACCAGTTTGGGGCTTGCGGCAAGGCTGAAGGTCTTCCGAACTCGGAGGGAACTTCTCTGGGAGCCGTCATCCTGTTCACCTGCCACAAGAAACTGACCTTTGGTTCCCTTTAAGTAGTTTCCTGAATGCCAAACACATGACGAAGACAGAAACCATGGAATTAGTAGCACAAGCAGACAAAAGCGTACCGTCCCAAAGATGAGCCTGTACGAGCCCATGAGCTCAATTGGGTCGCCTCATGTGTGACTGAGGCTGCTTTGGTTCTGAGGCGGGTCCAGCTGGAAAGTGGGGTGTGGTGCGAAAGCGCCAGGGTTGCAGGCGTCAGGGTAGGGCGAAAACGCAAGTTACTTTGGATGCTTTCGAAATCCATTTCGCACCACTTTGAAGCCATGGTTGAAGCCATTGTTTGTTGAAGTTTTTCCTGGGATTCAACTCATTCCGTTGGGTTTCTCAACGTGCAAGTGGATGTCGTCCATCCGCAGCATCAAATCATACAGGGGGCCCAATTCGGGGGCCTCCTCCCCGGTCATTTCTTAGTCCTTTGCACATTTGGCCGTGGGTCAACACCAATGGTAACGTGTTGGGGTAGGTGCACCACCCATTTTAGTCTGTTTTAGTGGGGATTGGGATATTCACTGGGGGTACGGGGTTTTGACACATAGCCATTTGTTTGCCTCACCTTCCAACTTGTGCGATGCTCAGATTTTACCCTTTGGTTCGACACGGTCCGGTCCCCCGCGCCCTCTGCCAACTAGGGCAAACGACCACAGCTGCTTCGATGCAAAGCCGATTGATTCAAGACCTTTGTTAGAGCTCTTTGTTTTGCTCAGCTGGACGTGACGGTTTGGAGTTTTGTGGACCGCTGCACTCATGAAGTAAGTTGTAGTCCTTTCTTGTTCTGGATCAAAGGAAAGCTTTTAAGTTTAAAGTGTTCAACCCCGATGCTTCGACTTGCGCTGCCGACTGGGTGTTGCAGCGGGAGGACCGTGAGGCGCTTTCTGTTTGCAGGAAAAACAGTCGAGACGTCGGGTTGTTGGGGTCTTAACAAAAGTTGGTTGGGGGTTGGCAGTGCCACTGGAGCCTTGACTCCTTGTGTGGGAGCCACCCTTTGGTGTCCATGCACATAGCTATACAAGAAGTTTTGACCAGTCAAGTTGATGGCTTTTGTTCAGGAGAGCAGGGTCTTAGTATGATATGGATGAGATTAAGCACTTGAATCCGGGATGCCCCTTGAATTATGTTACTCTCTAAGGTGCACTCAATATGAATCAGCCTCCAGCACATTAGTTGTTGTTGGGTGCCAAAGCCGCGGCAGGAATGGTCAAGCATTTGGGACGGTCAGCATAAGAACCGCACTATACTTGGTAAACAAAAACAAACAATACACATGGACATCAGTGATACATCAAATGGAAAGAAGAACCCTGAACACGCCTGAACCCCGAAGCCTTCTCAAAGATCAGAGTGCCCGTTACGGACGCCACCAGAGCGGCTTTGCAACTCAGGCTCTGGAAGTTTTATAAACAAAGCAACCGGTAAAAAAGACACATGCGCCAAGAGGTGTGAGCCGAGGAAAAGCCAAAGCCGCACCCAAAACTGAGCGGCGCCGACCAAACGCGATCTCCCGCGAAGGAAGAAGGCAGCTAGGTGTCAGCCGCACGAGCCAGGACGGAACATCCTACTGTGGATGGACGAAATTCTGCACCACCTAAGAAACTCTGGAATGTTGATTCCCATGTAAATGCCAAACAATGGTTTCAACCATGGTTGCTTATGTGGTGCGAACTGGATTTCGCCCATCCACAGTAGCTTTCAACCGCGAAATGGGAAGAACTCCCCAATCCCAGCAAAGGGCACATCAGGGGAAGCGGCCAAGTGGGACTTCCGGCTAGGTGCGAGTTGATGCGGCCCCAGGATGCTCGGTGCTCGGTGGGCGTGACTAGTCGACACTGAGGAGTTCGTTTGCTTTGGCTCAGCATTTTCGGTACCCAGAGGCTCCGATCGGCTTTGGCTTTCAAGACACGACAGCTCCATTCCCCGCTTCGGTGGTTGGGGGTCTCAAAACCCATGTTTGAAGGCCATCAATCGAGAGCCCTCTGGGTAGAACCAGCGTAGGTTTGAGTGATTTTTCTTTTTCCACTTACCAGGGCCCAGGGTTCCCTTATTTTGAGCTATCTTTGTGTCCACTTGAAGGTCCCATTTTCGGGATTCCCAGTTGAGCTGATCCTCTTGCACTGCGTGGGCCCACAGGCCCCCGCAGTTTTAACATTCGCCAGCGTAAGTGTGCCTTTCTCAGCAAAATAGCCAAGGAGGGATTCCTTGTGTTGACAAATATATCCATGTGGAGCAAGAACAAAGCAAAAAACATGCGCAACCTCACAAGAAAGCTCCGGGACCCACCCATGTGAGCGCCGTGAGGCCTGGTCGCCCTTGCAAACGGAGGCGGAGGGGCCCCACCCCTCCTGGGCCAAGACCATCTTCAACGAGTGCGCTGAGCCAATCTGAAAGGCCCCCCGCCCCCCGGGGGGAAGGCCACCTTATCGGCAGGAGCCGGCAGGGAGAAGCTTCCTGAAGAGGGGGGTAGACCCAGTTTTTCGGCTTCGGAGCGCGATATGGGGCCAAGATCCTGTTTCCCTGGTAGGTTTGTCAACTTGGGGGGTATTCAGCGGCGTTGTTACCCGTCCTGCAAGTCATTCGGTGAGCTGCTTTTTGCGCAGGTATGGTACGCACTAGGGGCGCTGAAAGCAGTCGCCCTTTGTTCGATGACTCGATGCCAAGCGGCCCGTTGCGACACATTTTCGGCTGCTGGAAAAGGGCAACCGATGCGGACAACCGATGCGGACAGCTCTGAATCCAATCCGACATGCCTGGTAGAAAAAGCTTCCATCATGGATCCCTGATTTCGAGGCGACTTTTATCGCGTTAGTCAATGTAACTCAATGTGCCCAAAATAAAACTTTCCAACATTCAGACAGGGATCCCACTAGTTGCCTTTTGGTTGCCAATTGAAAGTGAGCCTCCTCATGGGGTGATGTAGGGGGGAGCTCTGTTCGATAGGCAGGTGACTCCAGAGGGTAGTGAAGGTTAGCAGGAGACAGTCTGAGCCATAAACAGGGTGCGGATATGCAAAATCCCCATGGACTTGGCGTGGACCCCGTTACCAGGTTTTGATTGTGGCTCTAGACTGAACCGCAGGGGTTTCCGGGAAGGGGAACCAACCAATGTTTCAGGTGGCGCCTCGCAGTGCAGCCTTTCGAAGTGGAGGCTTCATGTTGCGCCATGTGGCTCAAAAACCCGGAATTCCAAAAGTGGGTTACCCTGGCAAGTGGAAACATGGACCAAAACCTGCGTAATTAACCCCTCCTGTTTAATTTTGAGCCACACCCCCATGGCAAAACACGGTGCTTTTGATACGTGAAGCCTTCGCGTTGCTTTTCGAAAACGACAAAAGCGCGGGGCCTCCTACAGGCGCCGTCACCATGTTTCGGTCTGGATCATCCAAGCCGCTGAGCTTTCTTCAGGTATCACTTGCGGAACTCACCCAATTTCATCCGAGCCGGGTCAATTGGGATCGGTGATCGGAAAGCTTCTGAAATCCAGGGAGCTGAGCCCACGGCAGGGTACCTAGGCTTGCAAGAGGCTTCGCACGCGGCCATCGGTTTCTGCTCGCGGCCATCTATTTATTGGAGCCGAAGATGCGGCATGGCGAGGACGCGGGTAGCGTGTTTTGGCTGGGGCTTTAAAGGGGAAGGAGGACAAGGGTGACTTTGGATGTTAGGACTGAACAACTTTTGGCCAACTTTAGTGGGTTTCCCGTATTAAACCACCAGAAGTTGAAAACTTTTAGCAGGGGAGCAGAAAGCAACCGAGGTGAGAGGTATCTTGTTTGAGGAAGATTAAACAGAAGGATGAGGAAGGTCTGGCTTTTCCTGAGGACCGTTTGCTGGTTTGGGTGGGCTGTGTGGGGTCAGTTGGTCGGTCGCTCGGGTTTGTTGCTAGTTTGATTGGTTGGTTTCCTGGTGGTGGGTCAGTTTTTTTTCTTCTTATTTTTTTTGTTCTTAGTTCGTTGGGATAGGCAAGGGGCAGCAGCCACTGGCATCAGCAGCATCATTTGGACCACTTTCACTGATCCGTCACAGAAAGCCCGCATTGGCAGTATCGCTTGGAGGCGGTTGAGTTGCTCCAGCTGTTTTTTTTGTGGGTTGCCGGCTTTGAGCCTTCGTACGCTTGATTTTGGAATGGTTTTGGGTTCATTTACGCAAGTTGTGCTGCTGTTCGGTTTGGGTGAGAGCACAACTTTTTAGCGCTAAATGAATCCGAACCAACCCAAGCCGCAACTCTCAACTGTCCAACTGGCCGCCCCCTTGCCAGATCTGAAGAACCAACTCCTGCAGGGAAAAACAGCTTCCAACTATTTGGATAGGCCCTTGATGCCCAAATGCAGCTCTTCTGCACATCAGGTGTCCATTTCAGTCTTGGGCTGGGTCTCTCCAACTTGCTCTTTTCTTCTCGCTAAATGTTGGACAAGACGAACAGGAAGGTGCCATCAGAATCCATTGTAGGAGCTATGTACCATTTGGTTGCGGCATGCTCGTGGTTCTATGTGTTGTTTCATGCCCAATTCAACTTACCATTTCTTTGGCTTGCTGGCTCGCTCACTTCTTCATTCACGTTGATCAGTCCTGGGCCTCACACAAGGATCGCACGGTTGGATTCACAGAGCACTGCTCCATTTGGAGAGCATTTCCCCAACGAAGGGGTGGTCGTGGGGATACTTCACAAGGATTCCCAGTCGGGATCCATGAGCCCATCGAAACGGAGCTGAGATGCTCCGGCAAGCACGGGGTGGAGAGAAGAATGGCGGTTTTTATTGGCTCAACCCTGACTTTGGCATAATCAAGCCTCCACCCTTGTTGGCTGAAGTATGGGCAAGCTCCCGGAAAGAAGGGTTGATTCAGCCAACATAATTCAGCCAACGTGTTATAATTTAACAATGTCGCGTCCACGTCCACTTCCAATTATAATGGGCGACCTCCCCTTGCCATAACAATGTCACGTCCACCGTCCACCCGTTGCGTAGGAGTAGCTGCCTGGATTGGCCCCTGAGCCAAGCGGAGAAGCGAGGCGCGGCTGCTGCGCGCGCCTCCCGCAGGTGGATTTGAAGATAAGGGGAAACCAACAAGACGCCCACTAAACACCAACAAACCACAAAAAACAACACAGCAACAAGACAACCAGCAAACAAGCAATCAAGCAAACAAACAAACAAACAAGCAAGAAAGCAAAAACGCAAGCAAGCAAGCAAGCAAGCAAGCAAGCAAACAAACAAACAAACAGCCACCAACCAACCGATAACCGACAACCAACCACCAACCACCAACCACCAACCACCAACAAGCACGAACCAAGCATCCGCTAGCCGCCAAGCACCCAATCGACAGCCGCCATTTTTGGGGGTCCCCATATTGTGACATGTACCTGGGCAGGATTAAGCTTGATGAATAGGGGGGGCGTGCCCCAGCGCATCTTCAAACAAAGCCTTTGGCTTTATTGAGGCGAATGGGTACCCTTCTCAGGTTGCTTGGAAGGGACTCCTAAGGCAAGCCAGAATCCAAGTTTTTGGGCCCGCATCCCCATTTTGACACATACCCATTTGGACTTTCGGATCCCAGGCTGCTGTAAGTCCATCGGTGTGCAAAGAGTGATTCGCCCAGTGGAGGATGGTGCCCCCCCCCCCTCGCATGAGTCCTTCTCAAATTTTGTTCCAACCCCTGCGAACCGTTGGCGTCAAGGAACCCGACAGAAAGCCATTGGGAGGCCACAATTTTGAGAAGCCCTTTCAGATGTGGGTTTGTACTTTTTTGGCACGTGTCCACTTTAGTCAGGGCATACCCCCGAAACATACCCCCTCCTCAAACTTTCTGGGTTGGCAACGGCCGAAAAATAGAAACCCATATCGTCCTGTTGGGAAAAAAAAACACATTGTGCAGGCCCCACCTATTCCCCAGCGGACATCATCGGGCCCCGTGGCACACAGGCCGGCTCCTGCAGCTGTACGACAAGGCGAGGGCAGTTCGAGGTGCTGCTTGAAGTGGATTCCCAGAACCCGCACTTCACATCCAGCCACGTGGCGAATTGCCTTTGAATTGCTGTGTGGGTCCCTGAAAAGGCGGGTCCGCATTTTGAGGAGGGCGCTTGACTGGATCTGGATTGAAGATCCATCAGTGTGGCGACTAAGAACGCGACCTGCGCACGCGCGGGGCCGAATTTACACGACGTTTTGTGTGCCTCCTGCTATACTCGTTGTTCTTGTGATTTCTTTTTCCATGCTTCTTCACGCATTTCTTTGAGAGAGAGAGAGAGAGAGCGAACCTCAGTTGGTTCCAGTACAAAGACAGTTTATTGCTAAGCTTCCTTTGATAACAGATGTATACTAGTATGCATACATAATACATATATATATATATATGTATATATAAGTAGGTATGTATATATACATAGATAGATAGGTAGGTAGGTAGGTAGATAGGTAGATAGATAGATAGGTAGATAGATAGATAGGTAGATAGATGGATAGATAGGTAGATATATATATAGATAGTTAGATATATAGATAGGAAGGTAGGTAGATAGACAGGTAGATAGATAGATAGAAGATAGATAGATAGGTAGACAGATAGATAGATAGATAGATAGATAGATAGATAGATAGATAGATAGGCAGATACATAGATAGATAGATAGATAGATAGATAGATAGATAGATAGATAGATAGATAGATAGACAGACAGATAGATAGATAGATATTCATAATATATATATATATATACACGTGTAGATACATACGTTCTCTTCCCCCGCGACTTGCGTAAAGAGCCGTTTCCGGCCATGAGGACGTGCAGGCGGCGGAGCGGCTGCTGAAGACCCTGGAGCCTTCGCAGGAGGGGTGGGTGGGTCGGGGATGATGCGGATGGACACGCGACGTCCGCTTCAAGCGCCACTGAAATGAGGACATCCTGCACCAGGTTGAAGCCGTAAGGTTTGTCAAAATCCTGCACCGAAGTGAAACCGTGTTTGAAATCATAAGGTTTGGTATTTACAGGAGAATCGGATCAGAAACCAGGGTTTCTTAGGTGCAGGATCTCGTCCTTTTCGGGACTCCCAAAAAAAGGACAGTTTAGGACATGGATGAGTCTTTTCCTTGGGGTCGTTCCATTTTTTCATTCCCTGCTGAGAACCAGCAAGAAGTGTCCGTTTGGGCAGTGGGGGACATCCGCTTTTCCTTTTTGGAGGGGACACCCCCTTGTATGAGGTTTATGGGGTCCAAAGGTCCCTTTGGTGGACATCAGAACTCGGAAAGGATGAATTTGTCCACCGACCATGTTTGAGGTTCCTTATTAAATTTCCTAGCCACACTTTCCGCTTGGCTTTCGAATGGAAGCCCCAGCCAGCGCCTGTCTTGAAGCCCTTGTTGATGATAAGGCCTTACCACAGGGTCCCCCAGTTTTCAACTTTATCTGGTTTTTCTGCATCTCCTTTTGGTTGCCAAATGCGGTTTTCCTTTTGGAGAGGGGGGACATACAAGGAGCCCGCTCAAGAACTGTATGATTGGAGCTTCTATGAATGCCGGATGTAGGGAGGCAGGGATATGAGAGGATTCTGGCCCAAGCACATTCATCGTCTTTTTATTCCTATTATTATCATCAGTTTTTTTGTTTAAAGCTTGAACACAATGAAATAGGCTCGGTTTACCCAGTGGCGCCGTTTTTCCCCTTTTAGTTTCGCGGGTTTGCTTACAATCAGCCCCCACAAAAGAAGTGGCTTTCCTTGCCTTTCTCTACCAGGGGCTCCACAAAAGTGTCACCCCCTACAAATGGCCAATCTAAGCGTGTCAACCCCTAAAAAGGGTTCCCTTTTGCTATCTTTCGGGTCAGTGGTTGCAGTGGGTGTGTCTTCTTTTAGGGGATTTGCACGCCTCCCCCCACCCCCTGCAACCAAAACTAAAAAGACATGCTCGTTTTCCTTGTGGTTTCAGTAAAACGACAACAACAACAACCAAAATGGGGGGTACCAACTCCTAAAGGACGCACCCACTTGGTTGCAATGCCCAGTGGTTGGCGGTCCGGATCCAGGCCACTGTCCTGGGAGGCAGGGTGGGTATGGGTTTCTGCCAGGGTCTGTCCCTTCCGATGGCTGTGGGTCAAAAATAGGTGCCCAGAATGGGTTGCCCGGGTAAATGGAAGCATGGACGATTTCGCCTGCGGTCCATATCCTGGTGGTTGGATTTGACCCATACCCATAGCCGGTTCCCACTTGCATCTCCTGTTCCTTCTGGGCCTCCCTAAAATGACCGTGTGATTTTGGACCCATTTGGGGTGGCTTTCTCGAAAAACACAAGAACAAAAACAAGATCTTGGACCAAGGGGAATGTTGACGAACTTATCGCCAAGCGAGCGACGAGAATGTACCTGGTGTGTGTGTGTGTGTTTCCCTTAGCCCGCTGTGGAATCAACCAGGATCTTGGTTTACTCCCACGTTCTTGAGGCCGGAATCGGGCGGAAGCTTGGGCATGTTCTGGTGGACCACGTGGTGCCACCTTGCAGTTGCGGTTTTGGCGGGGGGTCGTGAAGCCTGAGGGTGGCAGGGCGTGCCTAAGGACGAGCTGGACCTCTACGGTCGTGCTTGCTATTGGTACGACCGGGATGGCCAGTTGCTGCTTTTGTCCATGAACTTCACCCCAAAAGCCGTGACTGAAAAAAGGCGATCGCAACTTGGCGACCTAGGGAGTAAGCGTGAACTGAAAGGGGTGGCTGATGTGTAATGTTCACTTCCATGTGCTCCATCCCGACGTCCCGAGTCCTTTGAACTGCTGAAAGCAGAGGGTCCCCAAGGAGCTGGAAAGTTGGGAAAACAACCATAGCTCAGTCCAAAACCGACCTGAAATAACCCTTTGGTTTTCGCATTGGTGCCCATTCTTTGTGGCCCCAAACGGTGGTCCCCTTCTTTTTGTTTCTGGGAGTGCGAGTGGGGGCCAATGCCCCCCTTGACCAGATTTCCAGCGTCCCACAGAGTTGTTGCCACAGAACCTCCCGCAGCACGCCAACTGGGCTCTAAACAGATGGCCACAGCTGATTTGTCAACTCATGGCACAGCTTGAACTCCAACTCTTGGTTGCGTGCGCACTCAGCCCAAGAGAGCTGGGAGCTCCGAGGGATGTGCCCTATATTTCCTGAGGGGATCTTAGGGGATACTCGCTTGGGTTGGACGTGGGGAACACGAGCTGAAGGTCCCAAGTTGCTCCGAGCCTGGCAAACCTTTTGGGTAGGAAAGACTTGAGGCAGATGGCCTGACAATCAGGTAATGCCTGGTTGGGGGGTTTGGATTGGTTTGGGTTTGGATTTGAACCCGTGTTTGCCAATCCAAGCCACTCAGTGGGAAGCTGAGAGGTCTTTAGGGAACCCTATGTCCCACTTCCTCAGTTCGGCACTTGTCGGGAAGCACAAATTCCCCCACCTGCTGAAAGCCATAGGGTCTCCGCCCAACTATGCTCTGGGGCTCCGGTGTAAAACACCCACGCTAAAGCTTCACCAAGGCCAGGAAATTCGGAGGGAGACCTTAAAGGACACCTACAGGAAGCGTGCCTTGGGTGAATCAATTGCACTGCGCTAAGGAAACACGCGCTCCTCACTTGGAGGTGAGGGGAGCTCACCCAATGAAGGCTCCGGATTTTGCCATTTCCAGTTTGTGGATTGAAGTAATATGCCCCTGTTTGTTGACTCCGCCCCATGGATCGATTCGAGGCGACTTGCGAGCGTCAAGTTCCACTCTCGGCCAGGTGGGGATCTGCCGATGTGTTCGAGTTTGTCAGGGGTTTTGTCTTATTTGCAAGAGGTCTCGGGATGCCGAAGGTTCACCCAAACAAGCAATGCGCATGGTTTTCCTGTCAGCCTTCAAGATTGTGACCATGGCCAAATGAAATCTCAACAGCAGAACTGGTGTCCTTGTTGGTGCCCAATTTTTTTGTGGTTTTAAGAGGGACCCACTTTTTTTTTTGGGGGGGGGAGTCCCCCAGAAAACGACTCCACCTCTTTTGGCGTCTCAGGGACGTCCCTTCTCCGTTTGCTTCGGAAAGGAGCGAGGGTCCCGTCCTCCTCCAGTTTGGGTGTGGGATGAAAGGCCCCGTGGGCCTCAGGAAATGTCCATTCTTTTCAACCATCGTTCTTTTCAACAACCGGATCTGTTTCCCCGGGTTTTTGAGGGTTTGCTGAAAAGAGGGATCCCTGGAAAGAATGGGGAAGGTAGCCGTAGAACTACTAGGCATGGCCAAAAGTAGAGGGCACCCCACGCCGGCTCCTGTGCGAACGGTATGTGGCAGCCGGAGAGAAAACGCCTGGCCGCGACGTTTGGACAGTTTCCCCCGGGCTCCCTCGAAACCTGGGTTGCTTGTTTGGGACGAAAGGCGAAAGTGAAAGGCTAGGGGTACCAAGAAAACCAAGCAGACCTCCCACAAGCCAAGCATTGGGACTCTCCAGGTGCCATGTTAGAGGGTACTGCAAGTCCGCTGGGCCCGAAACAAAGAGCCCTGGACGTGTGTGCTCGGCCCCACTGCCAAATGTTCCCTGGACGCCCTTTGAGAGCGGTCCTGAAAGCTGAAATTTGGAAGCCGGAGGGAAACGTGGAAACGCCTGAAACCATTGAGCGTCCATTTTGGGGTCATGGCTAATAATGAGCAAACAGAAAGGGTAGAGCATTGGTCGATGGTTTCCTTGGTTTCCTTTTATCCGCACATTTGGTGCCCCTGCTAACTTGGACAACGTTTCTTCATCTGTCTTGTTGCTTTCATTTTGTTTGTGGCTCCCGCGATGTTTTTGTAAGCCCCAACATTTCAAAGACTAACACAACCCTTCTCAAGCTCCAATTTTTCGAGTGCTCTCACAGATTCTTTATTGAGTGGGTGGATCAACGCGTGGGATCTTCCAACATGAACTCATATGCCCCAAAATGAGACCCGAGCTTCCGGCCCTCAAATGAACGTGGAACCTGACGTCGGGGGGTCCTGGTTTGGACCATTTTCCTTTTAAAGGGACCCCCTGTCAGATTCCATGTTACTTGGTGGGAGGGTACAAGATGCACGGACCCCGATTCTCCTATGGTTAAAGGGGCCCACTTTCTGGTTGGTGGGAAGATCGGGGGCAATGTTAACCCCGGATTAGCAAACCCTAGTTGATTAATAGGGGGGTGTCCCCTATAGTGGGATTCATCACTTTTGGAGGGAACACCCCCCCAACAATGGGACGGGTTTATTAATCCTGGGTCAACATTATGGCGCGTCCCTCTGCCTGAGGGCTGGCCATGGCAACTTTGGACCAAAGCTGCGGAGACGATCACCGTCTCTTTAGGGCACCTCTCCGACCGCCGCTCGGGCTGAAGGTTCACCGGCGATTTTCGGCATATAACAACCACTTGTTTCTTTAACTAGAAACAACCCAAATGCATGGAAGTCCTTGTCTTTTAGCCGTTTTGGATCTTCAGCTACTCCCCATATTGTTTGGTGGAACACAACCAACATTTTTGGAGGACTCGGAACCTTTGAAGGGAATCGGATCCTTCTTTGTTGGGTTCCTGTTCATTTGCGGGGAGTAACCTGCAACTTGGGGCAAAGTCTGCTCCGGAAGCAATAGCCGGTGGACTATTGGGTCCCGGAAAGGCTGCAATATAGGGCCGACTTGCGGGGAATACCCTCATTCCAATGGACGTCACCAAAAGAAGCTGCAGGAGTTTCCATCAGGAAGTTGGATTTCCAAACACCCACCAAACAACAAGGATATCCTGTAGAATCTCTTGTTCTGTAGCCGGTTTCTGAGACTTTAATTCGATTGGATGCGGATCATGGTGGTTCTTTTGCCTCCCTTCTTTGGAGATCCACACAGGAATCCCTTGCCACTCTTGACAGGGGCCACGCATTGTTGTCGACCAAGCTGTTCTCAGCAGGACCCGGCTGGGGGTGGGTCGCACGGGTGAAAAGTTGCCTCAGAGAAGCCCTGGCGCTCTTTTTTTTTGCGTGAAAAAAAGGGGGGGTCTTTGGGTGTTTGTCTGGCCAAGCAGAGACCCAACCCTTTGTGTGGCTGCGTTTTGTCTTGGTTCCTCTTCATTTAGCCAAAGGGGCACCTGGGGTGTTTTGTCGGCCAAGAGGAGACCCCAGACGTTTTGTGGACGTGTTTTGTGGGATTCCTCTTCTTTTTGAGCCATGGAACCAGGAATCCCAGTTTTGGCGCCCCGGGCGCCCATCCAAACCGCGAAGCCCAGGCCTTGCGGCGGCGTCTGCGGAGCCGGCCGCGGTGTCGGAGCCGGCGCCCGCGGCGGTCTCCTGCCGGCCCTCGATCCTGCGGGCGCGGTCTGAGGCGAGCGGTTTGCGGTTGATGTGGATCTGAGGCAGATGGGTGACAGGCAAAACCTGAGTTGATTTGACATCCACTGGATGACTGGAGGTTTTCTGCGAAAGTTGCACTGGCGAACTGCAACAGAATACGGTGGATGGTTGCGAAATCCAAATCCCGCACCACTTGGAAACCAGCAGGTTTGTTGGTAGCAGGGAAATCAACTCCTTGCAGGGTCTCCAAGGTGCAGGATTTCGTCCATCCACAGTATATCCCTCCAATAGTGGTCTGAATCCCTACTAAACCAGAAGCTCCCCCACTTCATGAATAAACGGGGGCATATTAATTCGCGGTTCCCATATTATGGGGGTGGGTGGGTGGGTGCGGGCTCAAAATCGGATTCCGTGTTCTCGGATGCCTTGCTTTCTTTGGGCTTAAGCCCAAAAGTAACAACTAAAACGCGAGATCCTAAACTGGTTCGCTTCCTTGGGTGTAGCAGTTTGAGACCACGCCTTTTGCAACACGTTCTGTGAGACAAGGAGTTCCGGACACCGGACACAAAGGTGGCAAGATGAGAATTGCGGCTGAACATGACCGTAACATGACCCACTCTGGAGCCCAAACCGCCCAAGCCGCAGGGGCTGAAGGAAGCGAAGCGGGTCTCCTTCGCGGACGCCCAGCACCGCGCGCGCAGCCGGGACGAGCGGCGAGAGGCGGGGCTTGGGCCCCGCTTTGGCCACCTGCCCCCTTGACCAACCCCCACCCCCCCGCTTGACAAACCCCCCTTTGGCCGGTGAACTACCCCCACCTTCCATCGACGCGAAGCGATTCGAGGAGTCGGAGCGCCACAAGCGGCGCAGCCGGCTGAGGGGTCGCCTCCACGGCTTCGAGTGACCGTCCGCCTAAAGCGGCTGACCGGCACGGCAGGGGAGGCGCGTGGCACGGAGGCGTCCTTTTGGATCAGTTGGTTTGGTAGGCCAGTGGCTTGGATGGGTTTGTGCCCATTAGGCGTCCTTTTTGATGAGTTGGTTTGATTAGAACTGGACGGGTCCCACTGGTTCAGATGGGTTTTATCAGGCATTCGCAGGAAAATATATCAATCGATTTTTAACCAGAAGGTCGCCTATGGACGTGCACTGCCAGGAAGAGGCATGTTCCGGCCAATCTTTCTTTCTCTGCTCCCAAAAAGGCAGACAGAGCTCTGAGCCTAATCAAGCCTTCTGGGTCGAAAGTTGTCTAGATGTCCTGGTGGTTTGCTTGAGCCTTTTGAACAGACAAGCGAAGAAGCCGGCATTTGTTTGCTTCCTGGGCCTCGCTGCGAGGCGTCTGCCTCCTTAGTCCAAGCGACAGAAACGCTCGAGAGTTCAGGCGATTCAATTGGCAGGTGCTCCTTCCTTACTGTGTGTGGATCAGCTTTCCTTTGCCTGGCGTGCCAGGGCTCCTTAAAAGATACATTGTGCCAACTTGAAACATGTCTTTTTCCACCAAAATAAAAGGACACCACCATTTACAAGGCAATGTTCAGGTGTACAATGTAAGGATCCCTGTCTGCTTGGATCGGTGATTTGGAGTTCAGCAATCGGAATGCATCAACCGAGGTTTTCCTGAGGATGCTCCAAATCCACGCCAATTGGGATGGATCAAAACCCCGATTTGCATACCGGGACCACCCACCTACCGGGTGGTGCCTGGCGCAGATTTTGGCCACAGCGCATCTTGATTTTTTGTTGGTGGCCTGTGTTCATGCTGATTGTTGCCAAGACATCTGAGCAACGGACAGTTATTGCTGGGGAAGCGATTTCTCCTTGTCCGCTATTGGTTTCTTGTGACAATATTGTCTGGCATTTATGTCTTACACCGAGGGGTGGGAACCTTGCCAAAGCCTAGTTTTCCAACTTTTGGTTTGCTTGGCCTTCCTGCTCTTTCCTTTCTACCTGAAGAAATCTTATCCTTTTTGCAGGAGCCCAAAGTTTGGCCCATCCCAAGTAGGAGTCGGACACCCCGCTCCTTTCTGGGGGACAATTTCTTCAGAATTTTTTGGAGGGATCCTCGAATTGCTACAGGCAAGTGGGTGCAAGGGATGACTCCAAAAGTCCCCCCATCCCTTTTGTTCGGGCTTGTAACCCAGGTGACTAACCACTTACTCACTTGGCTGTGGGTCAAAATGGTACCATTTTGGGGTTGGCGCACCACCTATTTTAGTCTATTCACTGGCTTTTGACCCACAGCCACTTGGCGAATCGAATATCCAAGTACCAAACGTCGAATCGGCGGTTATGGGCCCTGCTCGCTTGAATCGCCCGCAACCCTTCGCGCCGATGGCCAACGCCGCGCAGAAAGCGAAAAGACACTCGATCCGATCATGGCTTGATTCTACCCCCCACCCCCCCTGACACAAACATGGCACCTGATAGAAGGTTCCTCAAGAAATCGATCTTCCAAATGCCCTCCCGGTGACATTATGCAACATCCGGAGTGCTTTAATCTCGTTGTTTAGGGCCTTTTTGGTAGAGGACCCTTCACATGTATATCTAGTGGTTGTTGAAACGGCGGTCACCTACCGTTTCATTGTTCACAGCGGGAGCAAACACTGCCGACCTGTCGTGGGTGATGTAACACCCTCAGCAGGTCCCAGAAAGGTTTGCTTGTGTTCCTTTACTGTTCTTGGCACGTTTTTCAGTATTTTGTTTTTGTTCTGTTCATTTTCAGTGGGTGGCTGCAGAAAGCACTTTTCTTTTCTTCTTTTCTCACATGCCAAGGATTGGACAGTTTGTCTTATTAGGTCCTTGTTGAGTTCGGATACCTCACTTGCAGAAGTGAATCGACTATTCGATTTCTGCAGGGGTGTGCGCGGGTGTGTGCGTGTGCGTAACAGCCCATCTAATGTCGCACCCCATTTAGTACTCGTCAATCAAGTCGTTGGGAGACCGATTGGCATACCTCGAAAAGGATTTCTGCACTCCTGGGCCGTGTACCTTTTCTAATATGATCGCGTTAATCTGAAGATTGATGTTAGTCATTGGGGCCGCGTATGGGTGGTTTTGAAGGGTACCCATTGGCCGACTTTGAAGTAGTTTCTTTTCCCCCGCAGACATCATTTCGAGCCTAGTGGTGAACAAACTTGAACTGGTTTCCAGGTGGGCATGTTGTGACCCGAGGAAACCAAATGACCTTGTAATATATGGAATATGTGTTATTAATGTCTGTAAACTTAATTTGTTTTGAGTCCGGCATTTTTTTCATACAACCACAGTTTAGAGACATTTTTGGAAATTTTTGCAAGCACAGCTGCGACTATTACTATTGTAGTATGAAATCTATCGTGGTTAGTATGGGTGATGTCTCGCCTGACTCTCATGAGACCATACAGAGGCCCTTGCTTAGGGTCCCCTACCAAGACAAGCCACTAGGGCTTAGTAAGCCTTGGGTAATGGTGATACGGGCTCACCGAACATCAGCTTGGAGCAAGGCTGATTGGTCATTTGTTGCATCCTGTGCATTTGTCCAATAGTCTGCATCAAACTTGCAAGAGGTTTTGAGGGGGGATTTTGTGGCCGTTCACCGAAGCAGGGACCATTTGGATGTTCTCACCCCATTCAGGAAGTGGATATCATTGCTGGTTTGTAAATCTTTTAAGTGAGTTGCATGGAGCGCGAATCTCACTTAGGGGACTTAAGCGGCGATACTCCCCACTCACCGGGTGAGCGCCCAAAAGCCCTCCAAAGGGGCGATTTTAGCAGGTGCTTCTACTCATTGGGATTGGCCTCGGAACCTGACGTTCGGGACCCGGTCCCTTGCAAAAGAGACTGGTCCAAACCAGGACCCCCCGAACGTCAAACGGCTCCACGTGGAAAGTGTGGGAGGGTAAAATCAGGCTTACATAAACCTTTGGTGCATTTTGCTTGGATGTCAGGACTTCAACCACTTTTTGCTCACCAATTGTTTTTACCATCAAAAACCACAAAAAGTTGAAAACTTTTACCAGGGGAGCAGAAAGCAACCGAGAAACCCCGACCATCTTAGCACCAAGAGTCTGCAACAAGTGGGACCTTCCCCGGCCCGCCGCGCCCGGCTCCTGGCGTAGCTCCCGGCGTTGCTGCTGGGACATCATAGGCCGGGCAAGGAAGGCCAAAAAAGGTCTGGGGTAAATTATGGGGTGCCGCTTTCCTTTTTTGGGAAACCCTGAACCAGAGTCAAAGGCACCTTTCAAGCATCCGTTTGCTTACCCGTTTAAAAGGCTGGCCAGGGCATGGTTGACACGGATTTGGCTCCGACTTTTGATGGGGGGGGTGGCTCATTGTAGAGGCCCAACATGCATAGGTGTCCTTTTTTATTTTTTTTAGGTTAGTTTGGATAACAATAGACGGGTTCCACTGGTGTAGATGGGGCTTATTCCATGTACCAGGACCATCTATTTTTCCAAAACACGGCTCGCGTTTGTGATGGAACCAAACCTCTCGACCTGGCGGAGATCCTTCTCGAAACAGCCCCTTTGGCTTGGGCGCGTAGAGCAAAATCAAACCTGTGCTAGAAAAGGTTCGACCGTCTCAGACGTTTTGTGGGGAGTGTTTTTGTTTTTGGCGGGGCAGATGGTGGGTGTGGGTGGGTGGGTGGGTGGGTGGGTGGGTGGGTGGGTGGGTGGGTGGGTGGGTGGGTGGGTGGGTGGGTGGGTGGGTGGGTGGGTGGGTGGGGGTCTTACTAAATTCCCTCCGAACAACCAGGGGCTCACTCATTTTCCCCTGACCTTTAAAGGAATCGCCATCTTTTGACCGTGGTTCAGGGGGCAAGAGCCTAAGAGGATGGGTCTTGTTGCAGGTGGGTTTCTCTTGACTTGAGATGCAGATGCTGAACGACCCTTGGATATTCACCAGGCTTAAGTGGATAAGTGGAGAAAATTAGTTTAGGGGAGTTGTATGGCGAATCTTGTGGGGACTTGTCAGGGATGCTGACGTCTGGGCATAAGGGGTCAGTGCCCGTATGCGGTCCGTTGAAACCTTGAAAACAATTCCTCAGACCCCGAGGATCCGCGGTTAGGCAGTGAATGGAACCCCATGGAAACCATGGGTTTCATTCGCTAGGAACCAAGGACTCCCCATTTTCAGCCAGGTTTCTTTGTGGGTCAGATGCTTGGCCGGCGTTTCAAGCCGCGTCGCTTTGGGTTCTCGTTACACGGGGGCTAGGGTCTGGCGAGCCTCTCGCCGAGTTGTGTCCAAGGGCTGGGATTTCGAACCTTGGACTTCGCCAGCTGGTCTTTGCTCGTCCCCGAGCACGGATGCCATTTGGCAGGGTTTATGGGCCCAACCTGGATTCTCAGAGGCTCAGACAGTTTGCAGGGAAAGTAAAGAGGACAGCCCTTGTCGTGGTACCCGAATTCGAGCCTGCCAGTTTTTTGTTGGGAACCCTCTTGTGGGGAGGGGACGTCCCCTATTTTGAGCCAAGCTTCCCCTGCAAGTTGAGACATGGCGCCCAAACAGGCTGTCATTCAATTGGAGATTCCAGGACGAAGGGCAGATTCTCGAGAAAGCGACTCGATTCCGTGGCCGACGCCAGGCCCAGAGATCTCACTGGGCGAGGCCGAAGGGAAGTGAAGAGTTGTCAGCTGCTGTCTTTTGCCCCCAGGCTCCCGCATCCGGGTCCCAACGGCAATTTTCAGCCATGTGCAAAATCCCTCCAGACCAGCCAAAAAGCAGTGCTTGGGAGGGTGCTAGAAGTTGCGGGGATGCCATTCTCGAGCTGTGGACCTGGGTCTTGAAGCTTGCTTCGCTCAGATGGTTTCCTTTCCTCGGGAATCTCTGGGTTTATTCCTAACACCCTGGGTCATTCCCTACTGAGCACCAGCAAGGACGCTCCGCTTTTGTGCCGATTCAAAGTGAGCTTTCTCTTTTGGTCTTTGGTGATCCAGAGAGAAGCATATCGAGAGCCTGGCTGAAAGGGGGAAACAGATTCAAGCTTTTGAACGAGCTGGTTTTGGGGTCAATTCGGGGTATTCATCTTCCTTCAGGTTGCCCAGACTCGCAGTTTGGGGCTGCGTCAGTGGTTCAGTCGCGAGGAGTGGTTCATCAAATTGGCGGACTCCCGTTTGGTTGGAATGGAACGGGAGCCAAAAGGACACCTACCGCTTGAGGCTTTGGCAGACCCCAAAGGAACACAGCCCTGGAGTTGGCGCAACATGTCAGGCCAGTCGCACTTCGACCTTCAGATCTGCGGGTTGCACCAGGATCATTTTTGCAAGCCCTGAGGATCCGCCCAAATCCATGGCCTAGGAGATGCCGAGCGTCGGCTGCTCCTGCCCGAACTTGGCTCGCCGGGGCCCGAACTTGGACCGAGTCGCCCGTGTTGGACACTGATGGCTTTTTCATCTACAAAAGGCTGGGCTTTTTGCCGGGGGAAGATTCAATCCCTTGAGTGAGCATCGTTTCGTGTTGCCCCGCAATAAAGCAGGGCAACACACATTTTGCCAGTGACTAGTGCAGGGAATTCATTGGACTGGGAAACCTGGGGAGCGCCCTTGAAAAACAGTCACCAGTTGGATAGTTCATAGGATCCGTATCAATGACCCCCATATGACTGTGGGTCAAAATTACCCAAAATGGAACCCTGGCATTGACTAAAACCTGCAGTCCCCTGTGGTTCAATTTTGACCCATACCCATATGAACGATCCTGGTGACTTTCTTGATCCTTTGTCAGCCCCCGATTCCCGATGAATTCCCAAGTCTTTGCACTTTCACGGTGCCATTTGACGATGTAGCGAACTGCTTTTGAGGAAGCCAGGTCCTTGTGAAAGTCAACCGTTGCGTGAAAGATAAAAGTACATAAACGAAAACAGCAACACCGGTCCCGAAAAAAGCCGGTTGGCAACATGCGGTTGCCACAAAACGTCCGTTGTAAAAAATATTGATACTTGCTGTTTTGTTGTTTGTTTTTTGGGTTCTGTGCATATATTCGTGGGCTGCAAAGAGCAAAGCTGTTTTCTCAACTGAGGGTTGGACAGGGCCTAGAATTGGCGTCACTGCACGCTGTCGGAAAAATCTCGCCCGCGGCGGATCGTGATTTTTCGTTCTCCTGGCCCAATAGGTTTTGCCTTTGGTTTCTGGTTCCTTTGCGAGGCATGGACATATTTGGGCAGTGCGGCAGCACGTTTACGCGGCGATTTCCAGTTCACCAGCGTGATAGAAACTCGCCCTTGTCATTCAGCCAGAAGTTTGGCTGTTTGAGGGCAGAAGACATGCTCCGCATTGAGGGAAGTTGCGAGAATCCCATGTGCTGTGACCAAGGTTGGTTGCAAGATGTTTTCGGTGGATTGATACAATCTACTTTGCACCGGTTGGCCGGTGGTTTATCCGGCCAACTGGTGCCGATCGATTCTCGCGGACTTTGTAGCCATCCGCAGTGTGATTTCATTGTCCCCCCCATTTGGGGAACCACTTTTCGGGGGGGGGGGGCACCTACCTGCCTTACCATTTGCATGGGGTAGTTTCACGGAGATCGCCCTGCTTCGGCCCGAGCAAGGCCACGAACGTCAGTTTCAATATGGAGCCCCGCCGATGTCATGTCGCGTTTGAGGAGTTCATTTCAGAATCAACCACGTGGATCAGGAAAAAAGCCCGTGTTGCCTCAAGAGAAAACCAAGCAAAACACCTGTGCAGAGGAAACGCTCGTGGAATGCCGTGGCTCAAGCGATGGATGTCGCAGTGGATGCAACTTAGATATAACGCGAGGGAGCCAAGCACAGACCCCCAACTCGCATGCCCACGCAGTGATTGCACCTCATAGGTCTGGTCAACATGTCCCATAGTCCATGGTTCAGTTGCGAGCTACCCGGGTGATCCACGAAAAACTCAACTAATCCCCAGAAGGGGACAACCCCTCCCCTGTGAATCAACCAGGGGGTTATGTTTTTTTTCTGGGGTACCCGTCAGCTCCTTCTTCTGATATCTTTTTTGGCAGGCTTCCCGTGCCAGCTGCGGGGGAAAAGAAGCACACCCAAGGTCCGAATGGAAACCGCTGGACGGTAACCACTCCGCACGCAAAGATGACAGCCCAGACACTTGAAGCCGTTCCGGCGAGTCATTCGTTTCAGTCTTGGCCTTTATCCAAGCAACCAGCTCCCAGCAAGTGATGGCGTAAAACGTAAAACGGCCCCGTCCTTGGCGCCTTTCAACCAGAAATGCTTCGCCTTGCTAACTTCGAACCCCGCAGAATCGGAGTTTCGACTTCTTCCCTGTGCCGCATCCACCCTGGGCTAACGTTTTGGAGAGCCAAATAATCTGCAAGGTGGGACTTGAACTTGAACCCCTGGTTCAGGGTAAATGAGAGACCCAACCGCCACATCCCCAAACCGTCGGGGCTCCAAACCAATTCGACCGAACCTCAGCTTTCCTTCGAGCGCCAAGCGCGAGCCGCGCGAGCCGCATGCTGGCATGCTGGCGCGCTGGCGGCCGCGGGTTGCAGCAGGCAGCGAGGGGACAGGATCAAAGTCAAAAACGTCCGGAAACAAAGCCTTGGTGGCTCCCAGCCATCTGGTTCCTTAGCGTTTTAGCCGTTTAGATCTTTTTAGTGCTTGGTGGTAGTTTCCTCTTAAGCCACTAACAGTTAGATCTGAGGGCAGCAAGGCCAGCCAACTAGGCCAGGCCAGCCAGCCAGCCAGCCAACCGACCGACCGACCGACCGACCGCGCGACCAACCAGGCAACCAACAAACCAACATTCCAACCAATCAAACCAACCCAGCCAGCCAGGCCAGCCAGCTAGGCCAGCCAGCTAGGCCAGCCAGCCGACCAACCGACCGACTGAGCGAGCGACCAGGCAACAAACAAGCAAACCAACCAGGCAACCAACAAACCAGGCAGCCAAGACCACAACATATTGCTCCTGCCTCAATGGGGGGGGGGGGGTTCTTTGGGGGTTTTCGGTTTCTGTGGCTTCCCCCCAATCAAGTTTGGACCCTTTGCGATGGGAGCTATGGAAAGGCCGAAAGAGGCTTCTCACCCGTTGTCTTTTTTTCTTCTTCTTCTTTGAATGAGTTAGTACCCACTTGTTCGGGTTGTTTAAAGGGAAACCACCGCGCCCAAACGCACCAAGACGAAGAACAGCTGAAAGCAACACGCGCTTGAGTCGGTGCTTTCCGTCTGCCATAATCTTCTTTTTTCCCCAACAGCTGAAAGCTTTGGGGTCTCAGCCCAGAAGGGCTCCGGGGTGGTCCGGGGCGGCCCTGAGGAACCAGGGTTCCACGGGCTGTGGGGTGGTGTGAAGACGAAAAAGAGCACCGCACGCTGTTGGGGATATCACCTCAGCTTATTTGTTTTGGAAAAAGCGATCCGAGCCAGACCTGTTATTCCGCACTGCATTTCTCTCCCTAACAGCTCCCCAATGGCCTTCAACGGCGGGGGAGGCGGGCAACGGGGCTGGGGGTTTACCACTTCACAGCTGCACGGGCAGCATTTGCGATCGCTCGGTTTGGAGACACATGTTCCAGCTTCAACATCACATCCCCTACCCATACCAACATAGCACCTGTGGGAGGGTACCTGGAAGATCAAATTCCTCTTTTAGGGACCATTTCTGAGGTGCCAGGTTGGTACGAGAGAGGGTAATCCAAATTTCGGGAATGTTTTGGGACGCTTCTGAAAGGAATTGGGAGGGGCTGCTCCGTGGAGACGGCTCATAGCCATTCGGCAATTTCGGCGGGGCGTGGGGGAAGTCACCCAGTTTGTGTCGGACAAGCGGGTGACGAGCGCTATGCGTTGCCGGGGGTGGGGGTCATATCAAGCGCATTTTCAGGTATGGGGTGTTGCTATGGAGGTTATAAATTGATATTGGAGCCAACAATCATTCATACTGCACAAAATTTGCTTAGATTCAGTTTGGGAGTTGGTTGATTTGTGGTTTATCAACCAGTATTCGTGGGCTTCATCCATCCTGCCTGTTGCCTTCGGATTTTGATGTCCATCCGCTGGGTGTGGTGGACATCACAGCTCCATGGGGATCAAAGGGTCCACCACTGAGGTGGCTCCAACTCTTAAAGTCGTAAAACTCATTCATGACTTCCCTTGGTGGCTCCCAGCCATCCGGTTCCTTAGCCTTTTAGCTTTTTAGTGTTTAGTGGTAGTTTCCATTTTACCCACTCAAAGTTAGTCACTTTTAGCGGGGGATCGGACATTTTTGGCAGCCCAGTTCCCAATCCCAAGCCTGGAGATGACTCCAAGTTCCTCTTGGGAGCCATGAAGAGGCGCCCGGGGCGTCTATGAGCGCCAGTTCAAGAAGAAGGAGGTCGGGGGTTTCGGGTACAGGAGCTTTGTCGGAGGAGAAGTCGCACAAAATGGCAGCGGCGACCGTGGGCGAGGTTCGATTTTGGCGACGCGAGGGTTGTTTCAGGTTGGACATGCCAATTTGCGTGGGGAATTCGGTTCAACACCAAAAAAAACTTAAGGGTAAGGCAGCTTGATGCGCATGCTGAAAGGGGTTTGGGGTCATCTAAGCAGAAATGAGTCTTGGCCGCCAAGAGGAAAGGGCTTGAACTGCTTTCCGGGAAAAACTCAACTATGAAACCGCCTCTTCTGTACGAGCAAAATGCGTTGTGTTGGAGCCCAAATTCTGCTCGTATTTTGGCAGATTGGGCTTGCGTTTGCGGCAATTGCGAGTTTTCACAAAGAAAGCAGTGATCTGCAACAAATCCTGCATGGGCACATTTTTTAGGGTTTTGGCCACACGCTACATAATACGGAGCAGAACGTGTTTTTCGCGGCAGGCCACTTGTTGAAAAAAAACACCTTCCCAGGCCACTTGTTGAAACTGGCCCCTGTAATCACTTGGCCTCTTTTGGTAAGCCAGAAAAAAGGCAACAAAAACAGTTTGACCGCCAAAATACTTAGGCTCAAAAACATGCTTATGGCCAAAGTGTATTCGGAGTTGGCTCGGGGGTTTGTTCGGAAATCAACCAATGACAAAGCTTGCTCGGAGCTTGTTCGCTTGTTCGGAGTTTGTTCCGAGCTCGCCCGGAGTTCGTTCGGAGTTCGTTCGGAGTTTGTCCGGACTTTGCTCGGAGTTTGTTCGGAGTTCATTCGGAGTTCGTTCGGAGTTCGGAGTTCGCTTGGAGTTTGTTCGGAGTTGGTTCACGAGGAACCTGGGGCCTCTGAGAAACGCCTACCAAGAAAAACACGTTCTGCTCCGTATTATGTAGTGTGTGGCCAGAACCCAAAAAATGTGCCCATGCAGGATTTGTTGCAGATCGCTGCTTTCTTTGTAAAAACTCGCAATTGCCGCAAACGCAAGCCCAATCTGCCAAAATACGAGCAGAATTTGGGCTCCAACACAACGCATATTGCTGCGGACAGAAGAGGCAAGTTATTCCCGAAAACAGTTCAAGCCCTTTCCTCTTGGCGGCCAAGACTCTTTTCTGTTTAGATGACCCCAAACCCCTTTCAGCAGGAGCGTCAAGCTGTCTTACCCCTAAGGCTTAGCGCGCAGAAACGGCGCGGTCCCCTGGGAAGCAAGCAAATTGATTCTTGATTCGAGGAAACTGGCATCAATAGTACACTTTGAGATTTGCTTCAAAATCTGGGCTTTTCTTTTTTTGGTTTTGGCAAACCCTTAAGTTTGAGTAAAAAACCCTTATTCTTTTTTAGCACGTTAAAACACCCAAATCCCGAACGAACTGACCTGACCCATGAAATTTGGCAGTTGGACATGTGGGGGAACCTTTTTTTTCTCCTTTTTTTCTTCTTCTTAATATATATATATACATATATATATATATAATTCTATATATTGTTTGGGGTTGTTTCGGGATCTGAGGAGAGCGACGGGCTTGTGTGCCCAGAGCCTTGGGTTGAGTTTGTGCCCCCCCCCTGTGTTTGGTTCTCAGACCAATTGATCTCCCGCAACACTTGGCTCAAGGCCCCTTTTGTATATCATTGCATCGATCGCGTGAAGCAAAAGAACCTTAGCAGGCCGCTTACAGGATTATCCACAAGACAATCCACCAGGGACAATCCATCCTCCAATCATCCACAGTGGCATATTGGATTCTCTCCGGAATAGATCCAGGGACCAACACAACGACCTCTACTACCACAGGGTACCAGTTCCCTTCGGGGATAGGCACCTGGGGCAGTGGGCCTCAATTTGTGGTAGCGGAGCGGGTTTTCCGCAGAGATCCAAGGGAAGATGTCATCCGATGGAGAAGGCTTCATGGAAGCCTATTCAAGTATGGCCAAAATCCAGGCTATACGGAGGAAACACTAAATTTATCGATGACCGCCAAGCAGCCGCCATCGTATGACGGAAAAGTCAGCTGGTTCAGGTATGAAGAACTCGTGGACGACTGGGTGACCATCACAACGGTGGAAGCACCCAAGAGAGGACCTCTGCTCAAAAGCAGATTAACTGGTGATGCATATATGTACAAGGCGGTCCTCCAAAGCGACCTTTTGCAAGATCCTGATGAAGGAGTCAACTATTTCAAGAACACGCTGAAGAAGTACTTTTTGAAAGGTGCGACCAACGTGTATCTGTACAGGCTCCTCACCATACAAGGCAGAACCAAGAGTTCCTCATTTTTACCTCAAAACTCGAAATCCTTCTTATGAGATTGAAGGCAGCATGGATGGACTTGATGCCCGTTTTCACGGCACAGTCCCCATCATTTCGACAGTCCGTACAGGACGCAAATGCAAGAACAATTGCTCGACATCAGCAAGCAGCCGGTGTTCGAGCACCGCCTCCAGCCCTGCTCAATGAGGACGATCCAACAGTCCTCAGACAGTATATCCAAGGAATGCAGGACAGACAGCGGGACGCATTTCCCTTCGGGGATAATCTCATTGCACAGTTTTTCATTATTCAAAGTGAGCTGTCAGATCAGCAACGAGAGAGACTGACAAGTGCAATGTCATTGAGAAACATCTCACTAGAAAACTACTCCTATGAGATGCTGAAGACGCACTACCATGAACTCTTCATCACGACGAGGACATCAATCCAAGATCCATCCATCCGACCTCAAGGAGGCAACCGAAGCAACACATTCTTCATCATCGAACAAGGTGAATACGAAGGAGAAGAAGGCTTCTGGGTTGAGGATGAAGAAGGACTTGAAGGATTCATGTCAAACAACGATGAAGAGACGTTCTGGGTCCTCGAGGAGAACGATGCGTTCATAGCAAGAAAAGTGTCGGGGCGGAACTTCAAGTTCAAGAAGAGAAAAGGAAAAGGAAAATCAGGAAACAAAAAGGGCAGTCACCAACGAGGTGGCTTTAAACCCTTCAGAAAAAGCGGTTCTGGCGGAAAGGCCAATATGGCCAACGAAAACTATGATCCCTACGACCAGGCATATTGGGGAAAAGGCAAAGGAAAGAAGGGAAAGAAAGGAAAATCAAAATTCCAATATCCCTATGATGGAAACAAAGGTTATCCATCCTATGAGAGTGGCAAAGGAAAGAGCGGACAGGAGAAAGGAAAATCCAAGACGTTCGCAGCCACCGCAGAGAAGACGGAGGAGCAGCCCGCCATCCAGCAGACTGCACCATCCATAGAGCCTACCTATGCCGGTTGGACAGACCAAGACTGGGATCAATCATGGACATGGAACGAACATGGCTGGTACTCATCCCATGAGACATCCAGCACAGGACAAGCGTTAATGGCATTCCATGATGCATATGAGCATCCTGGGAAAAAGGCCATCCACGAGAAGCTGATCCAATCAGATACAGTTTCAGAACACAATCTGTCCGTCACAGCAAATCACAGCCTTCTGGCAACTCATTGCGCCTGTCATCAACCCTCAGCACAACCCGACCTAGGCGATTCTGGACACTGGATGTACCAGATCTATGGGCAGCTGGCATGCAATCCAGCATTTTACTCAGGCCATCGAACCAATGAAGGACATCGTCTCCTATGAGTACATCCCGGCCGAGACCAAGTTCACTTTTGCAAACGGAGAGACCGCCAGGGTAAATTGGACCCTGCATCTTCGATATCACACAACTCCTCCATGCAGTACCAACATCGACGTCCTTGAACAAGGAACTGTACCGATCCTTCTCAGCATCAGCCAGACGCGGAACCTCTACATGACCATCGAGCACACACCTCAATGTGACAAGATCACATGCAAGGCCTTTGGCATGAACCGTCAAGCAGTTCCAGTATCCGGTGCAGGACATGCGCTCGTCGATCTCGCTGGAGTTGCAAGAGTGAAGGCGCATGGAGAAATTGCTCACAGGGGCCTCATCAACTAGGTCTATGACGATGATAACAGCATCAAGTTTCCCTCCGGGGATCTCACCAAGAGCGAAACTGTTTGTGCAGCAAAATCATCCGAGACAAAGGAGGACCTAGCAACTCCTAAGATCATTGGGTCTCAAAAGCAGGACCGTTGGATCCTTGACAAGAAGAACAAGCAGCTCATCCGTGTGCGCATCACGCCCCGAAAGGCGCTGTTCACACCAAATGGAGCCAAGGAATGCCCAATCAATCCTGATCACATTAGCCGAGAACGTACTACAGAAATCATTGATGCATCCGCAGGTGGAGATCCAGACATTCTAGAAGACAATTGGAGACTTACATCCCAGGCAAATAAACCGATGATTAACCTGTGGACAGGTAAGACCTTTTACCTTCGCGGACAATTCGCTTAAGGACGAAGAAGCAGGTTCAGGATCGGCAGCAGACAGGATCATCGACAAGAGGGGCCGGTCGACTATTGAGCCAGATCCTTTCGCACCATCCTGAGAAGAACCAACATCGCTTCCGCTTGCCCTAGGCAGAATACACAGGCGATTGTCAATTCGCGAAGAGTTGAAGAAACTCCACCTGCAGCATCATCACATGACAACAGATCAATTTCGATTTAGAACCCGAGCACTTCATTTGCCGAAATCAACGTTCGATCTATTTGACAAGATCTGAAGTGAGTGTGAAGTTTGCCAAGCGGCAAAACATGCACCATCACGAAGCAAAACAAGTGGACTTCGAGCGGACACCTTTGGTGACATGACATTCATTGATCACTGTCAAGTTCCTCTTGGAACAGGAGAACACATCATTGTTTTTGTCATCCTGGATGGAGCAACAACATTGCTCACTGCAGAGGTCACCGGTCGCTGCGTTCTAACCCTGAAGCGAGACAAGGATGGTAACTTCCTGAAGACCAAGGCTCGCTGGGTCCTCCGAGGCTTCCAAGACAAGCAGAAGAATGATCAGCAGACAGACAGTCCTGCTGCATCCAGGAGTGGTTTCCGCCTTGCAATCCAAGCAGCCTC